ATCGCATTCCATTTCAGTGCCATTTTGTAATTCACTTATTGCTATTACAACCATTTGTTGCTATTCAACAATTGTAATTGCTTTACTCTCTTTATGATAATTTCTCTCTATTTATTATCTTTTATTGCACTTTCTACGACGAATTAATTTTTTTTCTTTTTTTTTTTTAATATTCTTTTTGTTGAGAATGAAAAAAGTAGTATGCTATTTAAAATAATTGAACAAAGGTATGTCATCAGAGATCTAATTAATCTAAACAAAAAAATCGATCAACAATGATTTATTTATTTGAACTCTTCTTTTGCTGTAGTATTAAACTTCTTATTCTTATCTAAGAATTACTTAAAATTAATATGAAATGTATCTAAATTAAAAAAAGAAAAAATTGAAACTTAACAATTTTCTGCTTTTATTAATGATTAAAAATGATTAATGAAGTTTATCTCTTTGCCTCAATAAATATTCCTTAAAAGTCTAAGCTTCATTTTAAAACGAACAAATTTCCAATTAACAAATTGTACACTTTGCTAATGACACTTTTCTTTTTAATTATCATAGTGACTCTTTCATTTTATATTTAACTTTTACTTCCAGCAATATATTTTATTGATTTATTCGATTGATTGATTGATTGGTTGATTGATCGATGTGTATAACATTATTTTTCTCATTTTTTTTGGGTCATAACATTGTTATAAGTTAAATTAATGATAATATTATATATCAGTGATATTTGTTGTATTTATTTCCGTAGTAAATACGATGCTTTTTTATCAGTCCAAACTTTTTAACTCATTGAAATTCCCCATCATTAGCTATACTGTGAGAAATAGTTAGCCGGAATATCTATTATCATCTGACCGGAATATTTATACATTTTCTGTTTCCGGGTGGTATTGCATTACATTTTTACTAATCCGAAAGATCTTTTTCTTCTTTGTATCTTCTAACTTTTTGAATTTCTAATTACCTTCGTTCTATTCTAAATTCAATATTGATTGTAAGAGTGAGTATCTAGCAAACACTCCTTCAAATATTTAACTTTCTTTTCAAAAAAAAAGAAACAAACTTTTCTAATGCTAATAATATGTTAGCAATGATGGTTACTAATCCGGTTTTAAATTGAATTAGTCGGATTACTCAAAAATACAAAGTTAATTCAAATTTGCCCACATTCTGTCTTATTCTGGTACCAAAGAGTCAAATGGTCTCAATGCTGCAAATAAACTAAACCACCTTCTCTTTCTTATCTTTCTATCTCTTTGACAAATTCGACCTCTATGTTTACCTTTGACCTATGACTTCTTCACTTCTTGTCTTCCAGTCTTTTTGCATTTAACTCAGTATAAAATAATAGAAAAATTGCAATGCAGAATCTTTGATCTTTGCTTTAGTACTGAGTTGACAACATTATTCCATCCCAATTCCCTGACATAGAATTATTTACCTACCAGTTTATTAATTGCTAATTAGGATTGCTGCTCTAAGCACTATCGTCATTCCACCCTTTTTGCATTCAATGTGTGCTGCTTTGATGGAAATTTTAAGCACACAAATTGCACAATGTATTTTTTAAATTAAATATTCCTAAAATACCTTATTGAAATTTCAGTCAAATTAAAATCATTTTCACTCTTTTACTTTTAATGAGAAATGAAAAGGATCAAATATCGAGTGACACCTGCCATTAATATAAGGATTCTTGCAATCAGTTTCTGATTAAATATGTTGCCAATGCATTTCTTCTGATTAATATTTGAATTTGGACTTATCTGAATTTCTGGAAGTCTATTAGAGTCCAATAAAATAGTATTACTTGAAAATGAAAATTTCAATCACAAATTGAAAGCAAACTTTTTAAAACTATTGTGAAGTGAATATTTCGAAGTTTTCATCCAATTTATATAGAAAATTATTTTTTTCCACAAAAATTTGCAATGAAACTTTTTACGATTAAATGACAAATAGCACTGATTGTTTGCTAACAAACATATGTATAAATATACTTTAGAAAAGATATTAATATTAAATTTTTACTATAATGAAGTATTTATTACATACCTAACAGCTATTAATCCTCCATAGATCTAGACAGGTAAAACAGGTGAATGAATCAATTCGTATAGTTTACTTACTTCCTTGTTTAGCGTGAATTTAAATTATAACTATTTAAGAGCTAATCAGTTAGCCATTTGATCAGCTAAATCGTTCATTTCATTTTATTTTATTTTATCTTTCACATTCATTACAATAAGTTATACTTAATAACTACTTATACCTGTTTGTATAGGAAGAAAACAATTTATTCGATTTATGAAATCAGAGTAATATTTACATGAAAATTGTTACTGTGATCATAGAATAATCCATAACTTCTAATTTCTAATTAATTAATTAGTCATTTTAATATTCTAAAATAACCTAAAGTCGTTAGAAACAAAAAGAGAGAAACGATCAAAGTTTAAAATATTTAAATTAAGAATAAGAAGAGTGGTTAACAAAGTTTCATTTCTATAATCCTATTATCATCTGAAATAATTTTATATGCCAATAATTTTTATTTCTTATTTTTTCTAAAAGAATATTTAAACTTTGTGATTTGCAAGAAAAAAATAACATTGATTGTAAACTTTTCTTCTTTTAAGTTTTTTTTTTTCTTATTTTTCTTCTGAACAAAGAGGGTAAATATTGTTGTAAAAATTGTTCAATTGTCACTTACAAAATTAAATTGAATTTAAAACATCGATGATTCATTTCTTTTATGTAAAAGTATATTATTCACAAAACTATTTGAAGAAAAGAAAAAAAAAAAATGAAGAAATTATTGCTAATCAATTTTGTCTATGAAACCATTTCCGGTTGCATATATTACGTGAAAAATAATTTCACATCTAAAATATAATTGAAAATTATTTCCGGACATCCATCTTTCTTTCCTTTCTATTCCATTATCTTTTGCAATCTCTAGCTTATCACCTTTCTCGATTTATCATAATAGTCAAATTGATAACATTAAAAGTATATCAAAATATGTGATAATAATGCATTAAAAATTTAAACTTAAAAAAAAAAAACACTGAGATAAAGAAAAAGAACGAAAGAAAATGAAAGGAAAATGATTGTAATGTACCATTCAACTAAGCCTTCAAGTTTTACTAATAATAAAATTTCATTTCTTCTCTTCTATTATTATTACTCAAATATTTCTATTGGATTTATAAATTATATTTTTAAATCTAAATTTAAAAATATTATTTAAAATCATCGTAAAAAAGAAAAATGAATCGCATGTGACATTTGACTTCTTTTTGATACTAATAATTATTTAGAATATGATAAATCTTTATACTTCTTATTTAAATTTTTTTTTTAAAAAAAAAAGATTGGAATTTTCTGGCACAGCTCCTAATGACCTTGATAAGGTTATAAAGAAACTACAGCTTCCGATTTCCTCATTTTTTCTTTTCTTTTTTTTTTTTCTACTAAATTGGCGGGTTCATTGCTAAGTGAAATCTCAACCGGAATTCTTTTTTTTTTTTTTATCATTTTAAAATCTATCATTTAAGATACTATCGTGAAATGCGTTTCACAACGTGAAAAATCGATAATTAATTGATCATTACAATTATTTATACATTGTAATTTATCTTACCTTACCAATGGGTTAATTACCCTACCCATGTTTATTTATTCTTTGGTCCATACTATATATTGTAAATATATTAAAAATTCTTATAGCAAATACCCTTTATTACGTTATGTGTCATAAAATTCAAAAAAAAAAAAAAAGCGATGGAAATGAAAATTAATGAAAACATATCCCATTTACCATCCCATCCAATGTTTATTTATTTATTTACTTGTAAATTGTTTTCCTTCATGCATTGCTCATCATTGATGCATTAAATTCGTAATGCGCTTACACTCATTTTAATTCGCTAACTGTTCTTTCTGCTAAAATCCATTCATTCTTCATAAAAGATTTTATTTACCAAATTTTTTGTTGATGTTTACAGATGTCAACAAATGATACGGACGGTCCAACTATAGCAAACGCAGGTGATGGACCGGAATCCGGTGTACGCCGAAATGTATCAGTGAATCGTTTTCAGGTATTTATGAAATTTTTCTTTTTATATGAAATTTCCTCAAAATCATTACTCCTAGCTCATCAAAATTTTCATAATTTTTGGAAAATGAACTTAAAAATTTTAATAATTAAATATTCGTTATTGATGTATTAAATTTGTAATGCGTCTATACTCATTTTAATTGCTAATTGTTCTTTCTGTTTAAATCCATTTATCATAAAAGATTTTATTTTCAATTTCATTCTTTTATGACAAATATCAGCAAGGGAGAAAGAGAGAACAAATTAGACTTTGGGCTTAAATTTAGAAAAATAAACTTTGAAAAAATTTTGGTTAATGTAAAATTACAAAATAAGCACAAAATAAGTCTTTTTTTAAAATATATTTTTAAGTCTTCCACTTGTGCTCCTCTTTCTTTCTCCTTTCATTTGGATATATTTTTATTTACATCACATTTAATTGGAATATGAAATAATGTAAACATTTATGTCATTTCAGTCAGTGAAACTTCATTATCAATTTAAATTTCTCACATAATTTCAATAAAATATTATATTTTATCATTAAATTTTCGAACTAATCTCTCTTATCACTCAAAGATAATATAATAATATAATCTTAGAATATTCCTTCTTCTCAACTAATCATAATTATTCTTCCAGGTATCAAAGCTGACATTGGATTCAAATGATTTACCAGCATCATCATCGACAGCTACAACAATAACAACAACAGCTACAACAACAACAACAACAACAACAGCTACAACAACAACAACAAGCAGCAGCAGCAGCAGAAACAATAAATGCGCGACACAGCGATCATAAAGGGAAAATAAAAAAAGCTGCGAGTGAACCGCCGCCATTTTCGTACCCAACGTTGACAGTCGCAGAAAGGAAAAACAGTGCAATGAATCGATTTGAGGTATTTATTATTTATTCGCAGCAGAAATTTGACCATTTTTCAAACTAATTTAACAAATACAATGCAATTGTTAAGCTTATCAGTGAGGAATGAATGAAATTCTCGCATTATCAGTCAAATTTTACTGTTAAATAATGGATGAAATGATCGATTGTTTGTTTTCCGAGGAATTGAAATTATAAAAAACAGAATTTGAATTACTCATAGGTAGCAGAGATAAAAAGCCTAGTTGTGAACTATTGAAGATTATTGTTGAACAAGCAATGACCCTTAATTTATCTCTCAAATAAGCTGCATGATAATTTATTCTCACCTCTAATTTAGATTTCTTTTTTCTTATCATTTCTTTCTTTCTTTCTTTTTTTTTTCGTTATACTTTGAAAAAACTATTTTTTATGTTTCATTCATTTTCTATGTATAACATTATGCATTTTCAATTATCTTTGCACTTTTCAAGGAAGGAAAATCATATTTAATTTTAAAAAAAGGTAACATTTTAAGGAAATTATTTCATTGTTAAAAGTAGGGAAAGGTAGGTAATATTGATGCATTGAAAAGTACAAAAATCGTACTAATTTGATTGATTGTTATATGTTCACCAAATTTTTTGACACTGAAATAATTTGAGATATGACTTAAAATTCAGACAAAATAGGTGAGACATTAGCCAATTTCATAGAACCTACCTGAAAATAACCTTTATTTCTTTAGCGTATCAAAGAACTTCGACATATGACCTTTATTCTTTCTTTACAGCAATCATTTGATAAGCAAAAGTAAGTCTTTTTACCTATGATTTCTATTGACATACTTCATCAATTAGTTACCCCCTTAACTGTGGGAATGGCATTGCAGTAATTTTCGAGATCGCAAAGGGTAAATATTCATTTATTCATTTGCAATGATTTTTCATGCTGTGTCAGTCAGATTAAGTTAATTTTCCGTCTTCCTTCAAAATTTTGTTATTTCTAATATCGATTCAACTGAGATTCAGTTTGGTCTGCCATTGAAAGCTGTTGTTTTGAATGAGTTAGAGATCAGACAGTTCAAATATTCAAACATTCGAGAATCTCGAAATGCTTTATTACTATGATCGACAGATGATCATGCCAAACTACCAATCTAACCTATAATAGCTGCTAGTAGCTATCTAATTAACATATCAGATCTCTCTGAAAAACACTAAAAAATTGAATGTCCGATTAATTAATTTGTCCGACTTTCATTAATTCTGAAATATTCGAAATAGTTTTTCGTTCATTTTTAGGCTTTCCATTTTATTATGAGAAGGAATATTATTTGTAATATATATATTACCCATTTTGTAATATTAATTCTCTAAAAATTTACGACTCACATAAACGTGCGCACACGTACGCATGCACACATATAAATATCAGTGTAACGTCAAAATATTAGCAAAACACGTGAAACGATTGAAAATCACATGAATGGTCCAACCAAAACACTACTACTTTTAATGTTTTCATTTCATTTCGTTTCATTTCCACTCTTTCATATTTGTCATCGCACCAAATTCCTTTTGTCTGTCATCACAATTCATTTAATCATTCATTGTTTTCACATCGATACATTTTCCTATTTCATAAAATAAATTTAAAAAATGCGATGAATAAATGCTATTACCGATTGCCTCAATTTTTGTCATTTTTCTATGCTATACGAACTTCTGGTTAATAGCAATGTGATCTTTCAGTTGAATTTATCTTGCTTTCCACTTCTAACAAATCATTCGAGACTGATAACTGTTAAATTATCATATATATTAATATTTCACTTTATCAGGTGAAATCATTTAGACAGCCAAATTAATATATATTAAACAGAAAGAAGAAACAATGATTTATACAAAAGATTTTTGATAACTTTTAGACATTTTCATCTCAATTCTGTTCGTATGCAATATTAACTGATCATAACTTTCAAATTTTAATCATATCAATTTAATCAAATGGATGAAATTAACAATTAACTGTAGAAAACTGATGAACTCAAAAAAAAGCGATGCAATGAAATGATATCGATTCTCTAATCAAACAAAAATTTGATCTAATTTAATTCAAAACATTCACCTGAAAGATTTAGCATATTATTTATGCAATTATCTGAAAATTCCATAATCAAAATTGCGCTTTTATATTCTGTTCCATGGGCCTTTCCTGTCCTTCCGTTAGGGAAATATTTTTATTTGAAGTGCATTTAAGTTGAAAATAAATGGTCTCTCGTATATGTGTGTATTTACCGAGGTGCTTACCCGAGATATCCTGAATTGAATCAATTAATGGTTAATAACGTGTTTGATTCAGCATTTTTGAAGTGGTAGCACGGCCAATTTCTCGCATCTCTTTTCTTCCCATTTTAAATTTTACAATGAAAAATTCAAGTGCTTAAAATTTGCTTACAAATGCTCGCTAATTTTGCTTAAATATTAGATGTCCTAGATATATGTCAGTTGACAAATGGTACAATCACTTTATTCATTTTTTCTTACTTATGTTCAATTCATTATCTCCAAAAATTCTCATCTCAATCCTCTTGCAACATCTTTCATTCCATTTCTCTTTTATATGTAAATTGGATTTATGGAAAGATTTTCTAAACTGCAATTCATTCTACTTTGAAATCATAAATATGAAAGTATAAACATATTTTTTGAATTATTTATAATTTGAGAATTTGTTAGTTAATCTTACAAAAAGTAATAATATCTGTCATTTCGTTACCATTTCCCATTGTTGTTATTTCTCTGAATATAAACTTTTTTTCATAATTGAAAATGGGAATTACTTGCATTATTGATTGGCAGAGTTTGCTAGCTTTGTGGTACTTTCGATTATGGAAGAGAAGAGCTATTCAACTTTTTAGTGATCTAAAAGCTAAGCTCTAGAATTGCAGGTGTCATCGAATATGGGAAGTGCTGGTGAAGTGTTACCTGAAATGATGGAAGAAGATTCTCGGCCAGCGATCAGTACAAATGGAATTGCAAATATTGCTAGTGGTGCGCAAGTGTCACCATCCAGCGCTAATGGAGCGGAACGAACAGTAAGATTTTCAGTGGAAAATGACGCCGAAGGACGACAACATTCTGGTGAAGCAGATGAACATACTGTAACATTTAATTTAAAAAGTTGGAGGTTAATAATTTTCTTTCCTCTTTTTTCTGATTATTTCAAATTCTAGGAGCTTTCCAGTTCACTTCTAACTGATTAGATGCAAATATTCTATTCTTGGATCAAAGAAATTTTGATTTAATAAATATTTTTTGATAATTTTGTTCATTCCAGGAATATGCAAACCATTGAACATCCACCTATTATTGATTTCTATCGTAATTCGGTGGATGAAGGTGGTGGTATAACTTCAAGACCATCCATGAAACAACTGATACATGGTGAGAATGCCCAGGATACTGTAATTGGGATCGATGAATTTAAGGTTAGTTACGAGCATATAGATAGATAGATAGACACCTATTTATCTAATTGATCTTATAAATGAGTCATGATCTGAAGAATCAATCGGTTACTTTGATCAATAATTGCTAATAGTTACTCATATTTCTTACTCTTTCTTCTGAAATCCATCCATCTTTTAACTTCATTTGTACTTTTATACAGTTCCCGCTGTACTATGGTAGTTAATTAGTTAGTACCGAATGCAAAAATAAGTTTTACTTATAGCAAAATAACACACAACTATAATCCTAACTTTTATTCATTGTAATCGTCACGTAAATGTGACGTGTTACCTTGATTATACTACAAGTTTGAAACGATTTTCATTAAATTGAAAAGTGTGAAAAAAAGAATAATACAATGAGCGATAATAACGAGAACGAACTGCTAAGCATTTTAGATTCAAAATTGTAAAATTCGCTTCCATATCTGTTGAATTTTAATTTGATTGTGCTGAGTAATTATAATCAATATTATAATTTCAATAATTTTTCTTTCTTTTTTAGAAAGACGCGGACGATATAATAAATGGGGAAAGGGAGACAACAGCAAAACTTAGTAAATTTGAGCCTCCGGCACCTGTCACGCGCACTAAATTCGGTTGGATTCAGGGTGTTTTCGTGCGTTGCATATTGAATATCTTCGGTGTAATGCTTTACTTACGTATTAGTTGGGTTGCCGGACAAGCTGGAATCGGTAGGTTACGTGTATTTTAGCTTAATTTTTCAAATTATTCATCAGTACGAAAATTTCTTAATACAACTAGTAAAAGTGGCTTCTACCGATGGAAAAAAACCAGTTGCATTGTTCCAATTGCTTTGATCTATTCAAGAAAAATTACAAAAAAAAAAAAAAATGATAGTTCAATACTTGGAAATTGCATTGTTCGGAAATGTTGAAATTCACAGCAAAAAATACGGAAATTTGATTAGAATCAATATTTTTCCTAATTAGAACACCAATATTACTTATACTTTCTTAATTTTGGTGAACAAATTTTGTTCTTTTTTTTTTCTTTTGTGATTGTGTGTTTAAATCGCTTTAGATATTTCTTCTAATTAACTTTGATTTTCGTGGAAAGATTGAATTAATTGCTTTGTTTAATTTCAGCTCTAGGATGCGCAGTTGTACTCCTTGCATCTTTGGTGACATTTATCACAGCACTTTCGACATGCGCTATTTGTACAAATGGTGATATCAAAGGTGGTGGTGCTTATTTTTTGGTTAGTTATTTCCGAATTTGGTTCCGAAACAATAAAACCTTCTGCTTCAAGTGATAAGCAGTGAGATGATCATTCGGATTCAAATCTTAATTTTCCCTCTCTCTGTCCTTCTTCTTATAAATTCGAGAGTTCTTTCTCTCAGATCAAATTATTTCTTGGGTCTCACAGTGATATCTATGATAAATGATTCCACCTTATCATTTGCTGAGCATTGCAGATGTATCAGTTTACTTCATTCCAGATCAGTCGTTCATTGGGCCCAGAATTTGGTGGTTCAATTGGTTTGATATTTTCGGTAGCAAATGCGGTTGGTGCAGCGATGTATGTGGTTGGATTTGCTGAAACGGTACGAGACTTGTTAAAAGAGAATAATTATGCAGTGATTGACGGTGGGATGAACGACGTACGAGTCATCGGTCTCGGTACCAACTTTGAGTTTACTCTCTTTAACATTATGAAAGTTACTCATATCTTGGCTTACTTCTTGTTTGCACCTAATAAAGTGATAACAATCAGTTATAAAATCAAATACATTTTATAACATTGGTGAAGTCAGCTAAAATTTGAATGAAAAATACTTCAAATTTCATTTTAACTACTTGATTTTATTAAAATAAAATTTAATGACTTCAGTAATTTTCGTCTTTTTTCCCTAATTTTTTATCGATAATTCAACCTTTTGACATATATGTATCGGAGGATATCAGAGCTTCTTAGAATATTTCGAACTTCCGAAAATCTTTCCGATTCATTTCTTTTTTCCATTAGAACTGAATACTGAGAGGTCAAGAATATTAATTACTAATTAATTATTGATTCCAATTAAAGTAAATTGCTCCAAATCGCAATCGTAAATGTAACGGATAAACCGGTCATCTCTCTCTCTTAATAACGGGTCGACCGGTCATCTCTCTCTCTTAATAACGGATCAACCGGTCATCTCTCTCTTAATAACAGATCAACCGGTCATCTCTCTCTTAATAACGGATCAACCGGTCATCTCTCTCTCTTAATAACAGATCAACCGGTTATCTCTCTCTTAATAACGGATCGACCGGTCATCTCTCTCTCTTAATCATTTGCATATCTTCAAATTTCAGTGTCCTGTTGCATACTAATGGCAATTGTATTTATTGGGACAAGTTTTGAGAGTAAGATGCAAGTTGGTCTGCTAGCTATTTTAACATTATCCATTATCGATTACTTTGTCGGAACTTTTGTACCGGTTTCGGAAAATCAGTTATATCGTGGCATTACAGGCTACAGCTGTAAGTTTCATATTTAATTACTGTTTATTTACATCAAATGCATTTGTTATCAGTTGATTTAATGAAATCTCAGTTAATTGCCCTTCTGAATATGGGCGCAATTTAAATGGTTGCTAATTAATTAAAAGTTTTGTTTATTGCATAATCCTTGCATGTGTTTATGACTTATAATTCGTTTTGTTTGATTATTCAATTATTTTGTTACCTTTTAATGAATTATATAATTCTTTTGATATGCAAAACATTTTGATTGTACTAGGATTTATCCTCAGATGGTCACTTCTAGATGACCACTCATAGAGGGAGGGAGAGAGAGAGGGAGAGAGAGACAGTTAAGATTCGTTTGCTTTGATATTTCCTTTTACATTTGAATTTCTCTCAATCATAGCTTCCCTAATTATAATATCTTGAATTGACTTATAATTTCTCTCACACATACATTCGACTTCTTTTTGTCGGATTCTTCCAGATCGATTGAAATTAAAATTTTTTTTTTTTGTTTATCTTTTTTGTTTATGTCTATTTATGGTTCTGTTTTGATGGTTTTTTTTTTTTAGTTTACTTTGTCTTATTTATTTGTTTCTATATCTTTTGATTATTTTGGTTCTCTTTAACATTTATTTCTGTTTGAATAAATTAATAGAAATTTTGCAGTTACTACGATGACCGACAATATGCTTCCGAATTTTCAAGGCGGTGAGACATTTTTTTCAGTATTTGCAGTATATTTTCCGGCTGCAACAGGGATAATGGCAGGTGCAAATATCAGTGGTGATTTAGCAGACCCTCAGGTATCTTATCTCTCTCCTAATCAATTTTATCAACGAACAGTAAATGCCTTATCTTTTCAGCAAGTACAATACGGCTAAATCATTCTGAGATTCCGTTCACTTTGTTTTGTAATAGAAAATAAATTTTTTGGATAAAAACTACGACAGCAAAATTTATTTCATTCATATATAATTTCTTCTCCTTAACTTTAATTATTTACTTCAAAAACAAATTTGAAGCTCATTTCAGCATGCTATACCAAAAGGTACATTGTTAGCTATAGCTGTAACAACAGTTATATATCTGTTGGTCGTGTTTGCAACCGGATCAACCTGTGTACGGTACGCTGACGGTTACCAGCAACCGTATATCATCAATAATTCTTATTTTATTCCGGATTGTGCACAAAATAACACATGTCCATATGGTCTAATGAATTATTTTCAGGTTAAAACAACTATTTTACAATACTTTTTCTTACTTTTACTTTTGAAATAATTAATTATTTATTCATTTGCATTAGTATTTGTTTATTTTTTAGGTAATGGAAAATGAAAGCTTTTATGGTCCATTGATCACAGCTGGCATTTTTGCTGCCACCTTAAGTTCGGCTCTAGCTAGTCTTGTTAGTGCACCGAAGATTTTCCAGGCAATATTTCTTTTCTTTTCTTTCCACTTATTTCCATAATTTTGTTAGCTACCGGAAAAGAGGCAAAAATAAACCGGAAAGGTATATCAGTTCTGTTGCAACTCCCTTACTGAATTACAGGCCGTATGCAAGGATCGTCTCTTCCCGAAAGTCGGATTCTTTGCACGCGGTTATGGCAAGGACGAAGAGCCGCGACGAGCTTATGTACTTATCTTCGTAATCGCTTTGATAATGATTCTAATCGGTAATTAACTAATTAATTACTCAATTTCCAATACTTCCATCTATACTGAAAGAAAAATAATAGTCAAATCTTTCTGAAAAAAAAATACACTATGCTTTAATGATGAAAAAAATTCACAAAAATTGAATTTGAAATCAAAAAAAAAAACTTTGACCACGGATGGAACTGAAATCATTGACTAATTGAACTTCTAATGTGTGCGAATTACTAGTTTAACTTTTATGCAAATACTTTAGTGTACTTTGTCTTAAAACAAATTTTTCATCTGCAAGTCATAAAGTGTCACATTTTGTGTTCATTCTCTAAAACTTTTTATGGAGAGAGGCTTTGTCCAACTATCATTTTTACTTAATCTTATTCGATAGAAAATATTCTCAATAATACTGCGAGACATTCATTTTAGATTCGAACTTTTTTTGCTATTTTTAGGCGAACTGAATGCAATAGCACCAATAATTTCAAACTTTTTCTTGGCATCTTATGCACTCGTTAATTATTCATGCTTTGATGCTTCATTTGCTGATTCACCAGGTTTTAATTTTAATTTTAAGCATCTCTTTTACTCTGAACTGATGACAGATAGATATTTAAGATTGACTTACACTCTTTAAATTAGCATAATCAGTTTGTGAAATGTTTAGGGTTTCGACCTGCTTTCAAATACTACAACATGTGGGTGTCACTAACCGGGGCATTGCTATGTATCAGTGTTATGTTTATCGTGTCGTGGTCCACAGCACTGCTCACATTCTTTTTCTTTGCAATGTTATTTTTGTATATATTATATCGTAAACCTGGTTTGTTACTTTTCTTTTTTACTTCTAAAATATGAAAGATTAAATTTTAGAAGTTTTTTTTTTTAAATCCAAATTCAACTATTTCAACATTTTAAGCATTTTGGTTCTCGTTTATTTCTTTAAAAAAAATGTCATCTCTAATTTTTTAACTTGTTTATTTTCAAATTATACTTGTAATCAAATGCTTTCCTGAAAAAAGGAATATCAGAAGATGATAACATTGATAACAGCAACTTTTATCTCTTCAAAAGTTTAATTCTTTTAATGTCCAATTTTCTGGTTTTGAGAAATTTCTCGAAATAAGAACTTAGCATTGTGAGGATTTCTTGTACACAAATATATTTTAACCTCTGATTCCACCTCGCGACAGATGTCAACTGGGGGTCATCAACGCAGGCTCACACGTACAAGAATGCATTGCAAGCTATGCAGAAGTTAGCCGTTACCGAAGAGCACGTCAAAAATTACCGACCTCAGGTTTTGTTACTGGCTGGTAATCCGGCAGCTCGACCATCTCTAGTTGATTTTGCTTATAATATCACGAAAGGATCCAGTTTGATGATTTGTGGTTTTGTGGTACCGGTAAGTGCTCTTTTTTTGTACAAATAATTACAATCTTGGAGATTTCAACTTTTATTCAATATTTTTTGCCGTAAATACTTGCCATTAAGAAGGTTTCACCTAGTTAATCTTTTGAAAAAATTTTTCCGACCATTGGAATAATTGACATTTCCGATTCTTGCAATTCCGTAAAGTCCAAAAGTTTAGCTGATTGATACAATAGCCAATAACCTAATATACTTTCGTTTTTTATGAAGAATACTGGCCACTGTTGTAATAGATGAAAGCAAGGGGTAAATTGGCTGAATCAAACAGGTAAATTAGGTGAATCAAACAGATGAATTATGTGAATCAAAAGGCAGATTAGGTGAATCAAACAGGTAAATTAGATGAATCAAACAGGTAAATTAGATGAATCAAACAGGTGGATTAGGTGAATCAAACAAGTAGATTAGGTGAATCAAACAGGTAGATTAGGTGAATCAAACAGGTAGTTCAGGTGAATCAAGCACTATTCTCGACAGCATCAGAGATTTCAGCCTATTCCTTGGTTATTTGATATCACATTATTGGCAAAATATTTGAAGAATTCATCGAATTATATTTGAGTATTAATTTTATTCCAACTGATATTACATCAAAATATTTTAAAATCAAGTCTTTTCATTTATTTTTTACCTACTTTTAAGTTTTTTTTTTTTTTTGAATACTTTTAAGTATTCAAAAAATCTGCGATATTTTTAGTATGAGCCATGTGATCGCGTATTTGCGTTACTTAGAAAGTTGGATGTTCAAATGAATGAATGGCTCAGGAAACGTCACGTAAAATCGTTTTATGTTTCCGTAGCTAGCCCTAGTCTCCGTACTGGTGCTCAAACATTACTTCAGGTAAAGCTATATTTCCGGAAGAAAAGATTGCATTTCCAATATTTTCCGTCATGTTCACACATAGTTTTGAGTTATATTGATTGAAAGTGAAGACAAATGCAAACAAAGTATTACTTCCTCTTTCGATTGTTTAATTATTTTGAAAATGTCATATCCATCTTCTAAGGTTGCCGGTCTTGGAAAATTGAAACCGAATATTTTGATTACTGGTTTCAAAAGAAACTGGGCTGATCGTGGCGTAGAAGGACTAAATGAAATCAACGATTATTTTGGAGTGATTCAGTAAATCATTTTTTTGTCGTTCTACGACCGTTTCTCTCTTTTCTTCTGTTTTAAATTAAAATGAGTTGAATTATCAAATGATCTGTTTTTTTTTTTCCTTTATCAAAACTAAGATTGCTGTTGATAATGAGTGATAACTAATGCAACTGTATTCGTTGGATTCTAGAGACCTACAAACGAAGAGAATTTAAAATTTTGCCGAAATTTCTTGTTTATTTTTTAGAGATGCCTTCGAAAGTCGAATGGGAGTAGCGGTTTTGAGGAATTCTCGAAGTGGTCTTGATTATAGTGAACTGATGAAACGACACAATGTAGGTGATACAGCTCGACTCAATTTACCGGAAATAAGCCGATCATCAAATTCGACAAAAGCAGAGTAAGTGATATTTCAAGTAATTACGTATGTTAATACTTAATTGGATGGATTAATCCATATAAATACTAATTTTGAAATGAAACCTGAAATTGAGCAATTATGTAAAGAGTTTATTTATTTATTTAGTTTTTTTTTTTTATATTATCATATTTCAGTGGTGGAACAGTTCATTTGGATATGCAAGAAAACAAATCAACAGAAAATAATAATAATGCTGACAAAAAGTATGTCATATTTTGATTTCTTGAATTGACTCAAACATTTTTGTTTGAGTGAAATAGTACGTATAACAATGATCTGTTGACTTACTCGAATATTTCAGAGTGAAAGATAATTCAGAACAAAGTGTGAGTATTGATCAAGATCAAGGTGGCAATGCAGGTTAATATTCTAATCATTTTGTGACATGTTAGAGTTGTTGTGACAGTTTTAATCAACAAAGCAAAATGTTTTCATCTTTAACAAATTAACAACTGTGGAAAGACAAATGTAAAGTGTATTCGTCTTAAATCGTTTATTGTAGTTGGAAGAAATGTCACAGTCACACTAAATGCATCTGATACTATCATATCATATCAAATTAGTATCAGTAATACAATTTATAAATTATATCTCAAAAATTAAACTAATAATCTGAAATTAAATACACATCATTTTATGTTTTTGTGTGTGTGATGGCATTGATAGTAGTATAGTAGTTGGATGTATTTATTCTGATCAAATGCAAATGCATTCGTATTTTGATATCATCGTTGGCAGTTATTTTCAACATTTCGATCTTCCGGAATAGGACTACAGGAGAATGATAAGATTTCATCAGAATCCGGTTAGCTTAAAGCATGGAAGATCGTTGTCAAATTTACCATCTCTGTATGTGAACATGCACGCAATATTGCATGCTTTGCTAGAATCCTGAAGTGAAATAGTTCAAAGTTCCGGAATTACTGATTCATAGACACAACCTCTTTCAGCGATGCGATTGCATCGACAAAAGGCCATTGATGCGGGAGGTGGTGGAAAAAGCGCTAAAGCGGTCAGTGCCGCAAATCCGGAAAAACTCGCAACAGCGAATACAAACGATGCTTTGAATGTAGAACACTTTGAGTCCATTAATGAATCTCTACTTTTCGGCAACATTCTACACCTCGCCGGTAATTCGACATTCGACTCTCTATCTTCATGACCGAAGATAACAGCGCTTCTTCTCTCACATTACATTGACCATTTCCATAGTTCATAACTACTATCAATTACGAATCCTGTCATCTTTCCATCCTTTCATTTCCTTTCCGGAAACTGTTCAGTGTCCCTAAACTGCAAAATATTTCACATTTTATGCTTCATTTTTCTTAGCTGTCGTAAACCACTTACACATTAACAGTGCTTTTTTCATCTTTTAACCTATATTATTCACACTTGCATGCATGCATCCTTTATCTTTCACAACATTTGCCTGGGATTTAGGTTGTTTACCTATCTTATTTGATGAGCAATTAATGTTTTAGCAACCGGATCATATCTGGCGAACTGTCCATTGGAATGTTTTGATGAAGAAAGAAATGACGTTGAAGTGGATGCACCTGTCGCAGAAAATGTTAGCGATGATATGGACGAGGTCTGAATTTTTGATTAAACTCGGAAATTTCAAGAAATTATATTAAAAAGGATGAAATGAAAGACTAAGGTTCTGTAATTGATTTTTTGGCCTGCAAAGATCGCAAATTCAATTTTGAAATATTTTTAAATATTGAAAAGTGTAAGAGTGTTTTGGGATTGAACAATTAATTGCATTGCATAGAAATGTAAAATTCAAATAAATTTTTGTATGAGAATTAAATTTGATCGAACAATAAATACTTCATCAAATAATGAAAAGTTTATTCATTTCAGAATCAATCCTTTATCACTTTTTTAGTAAGATTTCATCAATTCATTTCAATCTAAGAAACACTTTTTTGTCATTTTTTAACCTTTCACAAGCACGAAATAAACAAAAAAATGAGATTATCATAATTCAATTTCGATAATTGCTTCAGTAAACCAAAACTTTGGTATCAGTAAGAAATTATCAGTTAGTGAAAGAGTGGAAGAAATTGAAATTATTTGCTCGAATTACTGAATTACTCAAAAACTGTATTACGGATTTTCATCTAACCAAACTGTTTGTTAATTTATATGTACACGTCTGCTATAAAACATGTGCGAATTGTTTATGTTCGTTTATTAAAATGTTGTAATTTGTTTTTTGTATGGTTGAAATTAAGCACAGAAAGATAATTTGGTGACAGACTCGTTCCTGTGCTTTCTAGGATGGCGACGAATATTCGGATGAGAAAACACGACTAACAAAAGATGACAGTGATGGAAATCATCGTCATCATCATATTGCTATTATTAATCGTGATAATAATAATAGTAACGATGGTGCTAATAATAATGGTGATGATAATATTACTGATAACGATAAGGTCCGTCCGCTTTCTCACATCTGTTTATTAACACCAAAGTTTATTTATTTATTTATTTTTTCTGTTTGTAACTTAACCGTTTTATTCGTCGCTTAATTATTTCAATTTCATTCCGTATTCGTAGCCTAAATAATTCCAAAAAACTAAACTTTATCGGAGAAAAGATGCATTTTTTAATGTTGCACATTTTATAGTTAGTATTTTGAAGTCCTAATTCTTAATTAATTTGCTTTTTAACTTATTCAGCAATTTGTGTGATATTTTTATCAGTTGTTTATTTCTTGCTTATTTTGTTTACTATGCATGGAAGGACATTTAAATATGCTAGCATCGGAAAAGTTACATCGCTTTTAAATATGTTGTAACACTGAAAAAGTTAGTAGCTTTAATAATAGCCACCTGCAAGAGGATAATTGATCGCATAGATCGATAGCATATCAGATAATCGTGATCAGATCAAATATTTTTGATCAGTAAGATTGAAAATTATACCAATAAATTAAAGTGTAGTAGTAATGATTCTCTGATAAAACATAAAATTGTTGATACAATTATTGATAGTTCATATTTTGTTGATTCATCACATTGCGGGAAATTTTTAATGAGAAAAAAGTAAATCTTTATGTTTCGAATTTTGTAGGGAAGTTAAGTGAAATAGTAGTATATGCACATTTGAAATGGTTAGACTATAATTATGCTTAATGGTCATTATACTTTTTTCTTGAAAGCTTAATTTATTAGCTTTTCAGGTGCTTGGAATATCCGAATCAACTAGACGACATTCATTGTATGACAGTTTTCGACGGTAATTTTTAGTTCATTCTTTTTTTTTCTTATAAATATTAATAGTTAATGTTAAAAAGAAATGAAAATAGTACACAACCACAGGTGTAGCATCAGGTACCACTGTACCCTAATGAGTTAATAATTACTCTTTTGAAGAGTTCAAAATGTTTAAGTTTAAAGAGAATACAAATTGGAATACCGTTGATAGCAGTACATATACTTTGGGTATATCCTTTCAGTTCACTTACCCAATTCAATCATAATTAACATTCTTTTAAGATAAACAAAAAAAAAGAAAAAATGAAATTAAAAAACCTGATCCGTATTCAGACGGCATCTGATACAGAAAAACGGCCATGTGAACAATATTAATAGTGAAGGGTGTGTTGCGAATTCATCAAACTTTTTGATATAATTGTTGTGTTTGTTGTTGTTAACTAAATTATAGCCAATGAAATGTATTTTGTTCTTAATTTCTTATGCATGCAAGCTTTACCTTTAATACATTTGCAACATTTTCTTTTTCATATTTGAAAGATAACTTTTTAAAATTAATTAAAAAATAAGAATTACTCAAAGACAGTAGTAGTAGTATTACTCTCTTCTTTATTTTAATGACTTCAGAAAAGTTCTTCCTTCTAATAAAACTTATTGATAGGAGGGAATGCTATTCAGTTAATTCTACTATCTGATTTGTGAATGATAGCCATAATCATTTTAGCTGTCTCATATCAGCTGTTTTGTGAACTGTCTCCTTGTATCTATGTTGTCACCTTGTCACCTACTTGATCCATCTTTTGGCTTACTTTTTCTCTGCAACTTCCTGTTTCAGATCACATCGTCCAACTGCCGCCCAACGTGAACTTGTCGCATCGATTTGTCGTTTCCATCGTAAAATTAAAAGTGCAGTAATTGATGTTTGGTGGTTATATGATGACGGTGGTTTAACTCTTCTTGTTCCACATCTGTTAACACTACCAAAAAGTTACTTAGAAGTAAGTTAATTATAATTTACATCATAAGTAAGTGACAATGTTGGATGCAAATCCTTTCAGTTTATAAAGTAAAAATTAAATTTTTTTTTATTGCAGTTCGATGACATTCTTAGGACACAATTCCTGATTTACATAATTCCTGATTTACTCAATTTCTGATTTACTCAATTCCTAATTTACTCATTTAATTCAGAATGCTCGATTACGTGTCTTCACTATTTCAACATCACCAACTTTAATGGAACAGGAACAAAGGAGTATGGCAGCACTGTTAACCAAATTCCGGATTGACTTCTCCGATGTTTTCGTGATGCCGGATATTGGCAGGAAACCTAATGTACAAACGTATGTTATACTCTCTAATGTTCACTTTTCATTTTTTATTTCCTAACCATAATTTTTAAATCAGTAATATTCAACAATTTGTTTTTATTTATTTAAAACAGTGATCATTCAGTAACTTATTTACACACATTATTTGAACTTTCAACTTTATTCTTTTTTAATAATTTTTCATGCTAACTTTTTTGTGGATAATAATAAATGATATGATATGTTCATTTTCATTTTTATTCGTGATTTTATATTTCTTCAAAAATAACAAATGATATAAATTCTAGCATTGAAACATTTTCCGAGCTTATCAAACCGTTTATTTGTGAGGATGATAATGTTCAACCGGGTATGATTACACAATCGGAATTAGAAGCTCAAAAACATAGGACCAATCGACATCTCAGATGTTCTGAGCTACTCCACGAGTTATCTTCTAATGCTGACCTCATTGTCTTGTAAGTTCTATCTATAATTTTGCATAGAATTTCAACAAAATGATTAGCAGTAATGAATTTTCTTCACTGATCTAAAAAAAACCAATCGATAATCATTTGCAGAAATCCTTTGATAAATTTGTTTACAAAGCTTTTTTTTTAAACAACAAACGCTGATACCTTGCAGAACATTACCAGTGCCACGATTCGGTTTTGTCAGCAGTTGTTTATACATGGCGTGGCTGGACATGATGACACGAGACTTGCCGCCCACGTTGATGATACGTGGCAATCAAACATCTGTCCTCACGTTTTATTCATAGTTTACTGGGTTATATTATGTTTACGTATAATAAATAACGTTTCAGTTTTATCCTTTTACCCTTTTTCTTATGTATTATAAAGTCTCATTTTTTAATGAAGTGAAATCTCCAAAAAAATTATTAATAATAATAATGATACGAAATTTTGTAAATGCGATTGATTTAAAAAATTTTCCTTATACTGAATTTTAAAATGATCTAACACGTGAAACGTGTCTTCATCGTAGTTTTTAAATGATCTAACACGTGAAACGTGTCTTCATCATAATTTTTAATTGGAATTTTACGAGGTTTATGCAACTTTTTATTGCAATTTCAACAAGCTTATTGTAATATTTCTTTTTAATATCAAAATACGAATTATGCATGAAATTAAGATTTCAGATATGAGAAAAGTCAGAAATTATAGAAGCTTTTCTTCCATTCACATTTGAAATTTACTTTTAATCCATTGTGGGTTAAAGATGAAAATCAATTTAATATAGCAAACATTAACGAATGAATAATTTGCTCAGTATTTTATTACAGTGTAAGAAAATGAAATAATTAATTTTATAATTTCTACCTAAATATTATCCTAAACATTCTTTATGAGGTGCAACACGTAGAATGTTGAAGAGATGAATAAATAATTAAATTTAATATTTCCATCTAAATGAAAATGTAAAGGAAGTGAAATCCTTTGAGTGAAATTTGAATTAAATGTTAAATTTTCTTCCTTTCATTTCTTCTACGTAATGCACTTCGTTCCCTCTTCGTTCTTATAATAAACAAAAGATACTGTTGTGCTCACTTTTGTTTACATTTTGTATTCACTTTATTTCTTTATCTAAATCTAAAATTATCTTCTCGACAAATTACACAAATATGTGACAGGTCATCAGCTCTTCTTCTAGCTATGACCTTTCTGTTACCTTTAGAAGTATTCATGTGAGAGTGAAGAGAAACACTGACAATTTCGAATTTAACAAACAAAAGTACGAAATTCAAAATTCTAAATATAGTAATAAATCATGATTAAACACTAATAATCTAAGCCTTTATATGAGAATGAAAGACTTGAATGAATGTTTATAATAAATTACCATCTGAAATTTAATAAACTCATTTTTAAATTGAAGCTGAAACTACTCTCGGATTCATCACATTTAGACTTTAGTATTCTTGCAAATATGCAATATATAATATATTAAATATACTAATATTATTTTTCATGCTTACTTTCTTTTATTTTTATTTTCTTATCCCTTTTTAATAATTCTAAAAGCTAAACATAGTTTGTTTCTCTTTCCTAATAAAATCTTCGACTTGAAATCTAAGAAAGAAAAATAATTTTGTTAAATTTAAGTGATTCGAAAATTTCAATTTGTTTCTCTTCTCTTTCACAGAAACTTCCTGAAGGACTATAAGGTATATCTATAAAGTATAAGTATAACAGACACTTTTCTGGTTTATCAATTTCATTGTTTATTTGAGATTGGCTTATCAATGAAATTTACATTAGAAGAATAACTATGGTTGCCTTATTACTGCAGGTGTATAATAAAGTTTTTTTTCAATTATTGATTTTCTATTTCGTATCAAAGTAAAATCAAAAAGAGACCAAGAAAAATGATCGAAATATTGTCTGAAATTCCATGACTACTTGATATTTGCTTGTCCTTTGATTTAATTTAAAAGATTTTGTGATCACTAATTGTTGACCTTTCAAAGGAAAACTGACATTACTGGTCACTTGCACCGATAAACATAGTCGTTCTCATCAAATTTTGATTAGAATGTTAGAATCACTTATCCCAATGCGCAAATGGCTTGGAACAAGGCGGAAATTTAACGCTCACTATCATCTATCTAAAACAGTTGTCACTGACATATCAAATAAATTTCCTGTCAATTTATTGAAGACTGTTATACATAACGAACTAATGGACCAAAATGAAGTGCAAATGAAAATGAAATATTATAAATTTCAATTTGGAACTTTCGAACTGACAAATAAATTATAAGAAATGCATGAAGTAAAGAGTTTGAATGAAACTTTAGAGCAGAATGGATGTTTTGTAATATAATTCTTGCATAGAAACAATTAATCGTTTCACAAATCTTAAAATTTTATACTCTATGGTTGGACTTCACAATAATACAGGTGGAATACCTGTTCGGGTACTTTACCCAGCACTTAATCATTTTTCATTTATAGCAAAGTCGAAAAATCTTCAATTTCATACTTTATCTATTAAAACCATCCACCTGAAAAATTTCTTTTTGTTAATAATTAAGACTCAATAATAAACTAAAAGAAAACAATATTGATAAAATAAAAAAAAAAAACAAGTGAGGGAATGAAACGAGCGCAATTGTCCGCATTGTCCGCAAGACTTCGCACATTGCTCAATAAAGTAAAACACTTTGAGATCCAAATTCAGTTAGATTGGAGACTTAATTAGTCTTAATTAATACAAACATTATTGGTAGTTTGCAAAAATCTGTTCACAGATTCAGTACATGTTCTAATTTACCTTTAATTCAGTTAAACTATAATCGAGATCCTTCGGTTATCAGTAGATATTTTCAGATAATCATGAGTAATGAAAACATTTCAAAACGAATTGTTTAAATTTACATTTATGCAAATTCAATCGAAAGTTAAATAAAAGCACTTCGAGTCTGAATTTCTATGATCAGATTTAATAATTCATTGAAAAGGATAGTTGGATATTACTCTTAGTAAACAGTTATGTCAGAAGGTTACAATGATATCTTCCAAAAGTAATAACAAAATTTCGAAAGGTGATGAACAACAAACAATTCATTTAGTAAGCCTTGACCAGGTAACAAAATGATAATTACTAATGCCACTTCATAGAAGAATTTTATTGCTATTACTTTCATATCATTAAAGGATACAAATATGATTATTAAATTTAGTAGGATAAAGTCAAATTCAGATCATTGCCTTAGGTCATCATAAAAGATTCAGGTGAAAACTAGATCAAACACGAGTCATCATTAGCGCAAAGTAAACATCAGAAGATGCATAATTGGATATGCAATTAATTGTAAATAGAAAAACTCTGCTAGATTTAAATAAATAATAACAGTGTGAGAAATTATTTGATCGCATTTGTAGACGTACGTGTGTTTTGACGTGGAACAATTGACAAATGCAAGACAGGAAGTGAAACTAAAGCGTTACGAAGGTGTTCAGGATGACATTGCATGGCGTATGAGAACAAACGTACCCACTCGATATCTCATCAATCCATCCAAAGGTTTCATTCAAAACAATGAACCGATCACAGTAAGTAGAAATAATTAAAATATTGTTGGTAATAAAATTTTTAATGGATGTCATAAAAGTTTTGTCTATTTTAGTATTTGAAATACTTGATGGATTATAAATTTAAACCTGAATTACTTCCTGCAATAATCAATTAAATATTTAAATTCCAGCTCCGACATAAATGCTGGAATAGTTCACTTAGCAGCTAATGAAAATAACAACTGAATCATATTTGCATTTAATTCTCAATTAAATACTAAAATTCATTTTCAGTGAAATTCTTTAGTGCAATTCAAATATGAAAGGAATTACAGCTTTGCATCGAATTATTAGAAAATAAATTCCATCCGAATCATAAATTAACTCTTCAAGCAATTGCAATAATTGATGGATGCAATGAGCGAACAATTTGGAAGCATCAAAATGCCAAAAAATGCAGTAAAGTGCAACTGATAAGACTGAAATTAAGTACAGTACTGATAAATGTCGAAATGGCCAAATTTGAGGTTAATTGAGTTCGGAGAGTGATAATTTGTGGAAGGGATTATTCTAGTTATAATTGTTAATTATATTAATATCCGGTAGCTAGATCACTATCAGTAATATCACTGATAATAGACATATACGTTTATCATCAAATCATATGCCACAAAAAATATATTTAAGCTAAAAATTTAAGATTTTTTTCAAGACAAATAACAATGAATGAAAGAAAATTCCAGCAGAAATTATATTCTTAAAATATTTTTGAAATTTTCCATCCAAATTTTTTGAGATTTTAACAAAGATTTTTTGTTGAAACTTTTGAAATCCTGACAAAACATTATCTGTAATTTGTGATCAAAAAAAACAATGAGAAATCGGATAAAGTGTCATCGACGGAATTTAGGAAGAAAATTTTGCAATGGAAGCAGGAAATTTAGAAAAGTTTATGGAACAAAGCTCAACCACTGGATTCAAACGTATTAGAGAACTGGAAAAGTTGCTGAACACTTTGGAAGATGATTTCAGTTATATCCGGAAGAATACTGAACGGACGAAACGTTTAAAGGCGGCTTTGGAACAAGCATTAGATTCACGGTAAATAACTGAGTTGAGTTAAATATTAAAATTAATTGAATATAACATAAGAATTAATAGTGGGTCTAACGAAAAGCCAAAATATTGTTATTAATTTTTTACTTTTGAAAGCATTTATTTTATTAATTTAATATTTTCTGAAACTAATAGAGTAATTCTCAGTTTAACTTCAGTAAATTAACTTTGGTTGAACTGAAACGACGAGCAATGGAAAGTGATCGAAAGACGAAAAAGTTGAAGAAGAAACTTGAAAGTAAAGAAGCGCAACTGCAACTTGCGCAGCAAACACAAACAAATAATTTGAGTAGTCCAACTTGTCGAATTTCATAAGTAACACACACTGAGTTAGTCATTTTCAATAAAATTTCCAATAAAATGCATCTGATACTGTCATGTGGCGTCATTGTCACACTTTGTCACAAAAGTGCTCTGCGATGTAAAACATCATCAAACTGCCGAACTGGATGAAATTAATCACAGAAAAACAAATAGTTACAAGAATTTCTCCCAAATTATTCGTAGAAAATTTAGAAATGTGCGCAAAATGTGAAAAGCGCCACTTTTTCATTCATGCTGACCCACTGATCTATGTGTCAGACCCATTGATCTATGTGTCAAACAAATGACACAACAATGAATTATGGTACTAACATTGATGCTTTTCATTTTAATATATTTCATATAAGCATTATTTCACAATTGAATTAAACTACAAGTCGTTAAATCGAAATTTGTGCTGAAAGTGATAATTTTGATAAATATATGTGACATTGACGCATTTGACGTGAGCGACGCTTAAATGAGCGGTTCCTCGGCTTCGTCGTCAAGCGTTGGTTCATCGTTTGTCTCATAAAGTTTGCATTTATTCTCTTTGATAGTAACATGCAGATTTGAATGCATCACAGCATTGAGTGCTTTCTGATTGTCCATTTCATGAACTGATTTAATCTCTTCTGCTGCCTTTTCCATGTCCATTTTCTTTGCCTTTAAATTAACAATTACTCTTTACTCTGTGACTGTATTACTCTTACTATAATATAAAGTATACTTCCACTTACTTTCATTAAATTAAAGTAAATAACGATGACTCATTTCTTGATTACCTTACGAAATTCATCAATGTTACCCATAACTTTAACTTTATTCATTGGTATGATATCTGCTTTTCTGCAATTAAATCATTCATCACTAAATTTATTTCATCTTAACCATAATTTCGAATTTGATTACTTCTCAGTCCATTACTTTATAGTATCTTTCAGATAAATTCACATTTGAATTTAGTAATGCATTATAAATTCTTCAATTCTGCACTGATAGATACAAACAAGAAGTGTAATTAAAAAGTTTTAATATATTTCCAAACTACAACTTAAAACTTTTCAAACAATGGAATTTATACAGAGGAAAGTTTCAAGTCACTTACTCTAAGTTACTTTCTTCAGATCCTTCCATTTGAGTTTGATCATCTTTTCTTGGCTCATCTTTCTAAAAATTTAATATCTGTGATAATCTCTCTGATAATTTTGTGATTGAATTTCATTCATTCTATCCTATTTTCAACTATTTCAACCAAATTTTTTTTTTATTTAATTTAGTGAACTGAAAGTTCCTTTTGTGGTTATCCTAGTCCTACAGGTATATAAAGTATGAAACACTTCATTAGTTCACTATCGAAGAATCAATTTAGACGTAAAACAGTCTTACGTCATTTAAACAGCGATCTATTTTAGGAGCAAATTGAAATTTTTGAAATGGTAAAAAAGTGGATATCTGGGTATCTATAAAAGTGGATGTCTAAAAAATGGGTATCTCTTGAAAGTTACCCATTGATCTGATTTCTCATTTCTGCTTCTTTTTACTCCTATCTTTAAAAAATTTTTATTTTTTTTTGTCCTAAAATTTATTCACTTTTTCTCAGTGACTGATTTTCAAGGGAACTTTCAAGAGATACCTGCAAACACATATTTGTTTGCTGTGTCTTCCAAAGTTCTTGCATTCACTTAAATTTTTCATTCCATTCTACTACGTTCATTCCGTTTCTCTTATCCTTTATCACTAACTTTTTTATCAGCTTTTCGCGCATTTACTTCTACGGCGGTCTGCGCAGCGGCACCGGTTGTATCAGTTGAAGCATCCGTCTTCTGTGCTACTTTTCCGGAAACATTTGTTGTTGCTTTCTTCTTCCGACAACACATTTGTAGCGGTGATAAAATAATTAATAAGAAGAAACTTTGCGCCATTTTCCACATTACACATGACAAAACTGCAAAAATGATATGAAATTGAATGTGAAATTAGTGGAAAAACAGTTATTAACGTTAAGCAAAAAAAGCTAAACGTTTTGTAATAAAATTTTTTGAAATAATTAATGTTAAATCTAATTAATCATTTGAATATTTGATTATTTCTGCTAATTATCAGCCAGAAAAGAATTGATAACATTGCTAATATCAGAGGAGACACCTTCGTAATCATTCGAACTTTCCATTTCTATTTGAGGGAAATTTGCTGACATCTGTTCACCGTTAATTTAATTCCTATTGCCGAAGCAATAAGAAAAAGTGGAAACTTTCAGAGGCAATTATAAAAGTTAAAATAACATTCAATCATTTATCATTTATATATATGTTATTTCATTTTGATAAAAAAATATGAATATGCAAAATTTTTAAAATTTTCATCAAATACTCTAATGATGGCATTCTTTTATTTCAAAACATTCTTTGCAAATGTTAGTAAAAGTGTTTCTAAATTTTATTAAATATTCATCTTATTTTATCCATTCAAATTTACTGATCACGTAAACTGATCACGTAAAGATACGCAACTTCCAGGCGTATCAGTGTACCCAGTTGAATTGATTTATAACTTCTGTTTTTGTTTAATTCTGCTAAAGGAAAATTATGAAAAATTGTTTCTTTGCCAAGAAATGAGATTAGCAAAACATTTGCAATACTAATTGCTTCGTATCGAATTGAATTTTTTTTTTCCAGAAAAATCAAAATTAACTCAAAGTTATGTCTTCAGAAATATTTCAAAAGTTAGTGCTAACATTTCACATTTTTCGTTTTATTTATTTTTTTAAAAAAAAAAATCACTTTGGGTATTTTTGATTTTTAGGGTGGGTAGAGGGAAGAATTATCTCGAAATGGATGATAATGTGTAGGAATAAAAAAGAAAATATAGGTGAACAGAACTTTACCCAAATTTCTGCTTTTTTTTCTTTCTAATCTAATAGCCATCCAGTGCAAATACGAGTTTACGTGTGGTTTTCACTTCAATAATAAATGACGTAATAATACTACGTATGACGTAAATGGCCAACGCAATTACGGAAATCATAAAAACAATGCTAATAAATGACACACATAGCACAAAAGCAAAGTAATTCATTTATGATAGCATAAATTTCAGTTTTTAGCATAAATTTTTTTAAAAGTAATTCATTTATAATAGCAAAAGTAATTCATTTATGATAAAAAGTAATTCATTTAAAAACTAATTCATTTATGATAGCATAAATTTCAGTTTTTCAAATTTCGAAAACAAATAAACTTTTTAAATAATTTTTATGCTATCAGTTTTCTCTTAGCTTTAGCAAAATGCTAAATATTAAATAATTTGGATCGTTTAAATAAAAATTCACAAATTTAAATAGAATTTCTTGGAAAAGCAACAGCAAGCACTTCAGAGAAATCCAAAAGCTTTTTCCAACTATCAAACAAATTATCCGAATAATATAAATTTTTAATTAATTGATTAGATCTTTAAAATTAATTTTGATCTTTGCGATTTTTTGATCAGTTGCACAAAGATCAGATCAATCATATCAGATACTTCCAGAGATTTCATGATTATAAGTGCAGAACTGATTAGTACTTTTTTTAGGAAATATTTAAATTTATTTGTCGTTTTTCAAAAATCTCAAATTTTATTCATTTTTGAAGATAATATTAATACAAACACTGATTATTTCATTTTTTTTTCCTTACAAAATTATTAGCAAAGAATAGAAATAAAGAAATTTTTTTGAATTTTATTAACGAAGAAATTGACACTTTTTAATTTGAAATGGTACAAATTTCGATTTTAAAAAGTGAAATGAAATTGGTTTATGAATGCTTTTCTGATTGTTTTAAGTTTTATTGCATTTTTTTTTTTTGGTATAATTTGACAATTTGTTGTAATTTCTATAAGTTAATTTATGTCACTTTGTGTTGTTTCCCAGTCATATTGCAAATCTTCTGGCATATTTTTTGGTAACATTTTCTGCAAAACTTTTCTTCAAATTTTTTTTAAGAGAGAAAAGTTTGAACTTAAATGAACTTTCTTCAATTATTTGAATTTTTTAAATGAGAAAGTAATTTGTTAAAAGCATGGCAGCTTTCCTGTATTTTAAAATATTTTAAGATATAAATTTTTTAATTAAATTTTTAGTTATCAATCAAGTCGCACCATGAATTTATGTCCAATGTCAATTAGCTAATTAAGCAGTAAGCACTTTGTTGAATAAATGCAATTAAAATTTAATTTTAAAAACCAGTCGAAATAATGAATTACTTATAACTCACATTAAGTTCCGTTGTAAGTAGTTCATAATTGGGAATTTGATGGTAATGCAACTGCGACAAATGTTTCATTATTGTTTCCATTTCCTTTGGTACTAATCTTAATTAAGGAATTTTTGAAAAAATCAATTCTGATTTGAATTATAAAAATTATATTTTTGATCTATTTGATAACAAAATATCTTAAAAATGTTGCATTTTGTTAATGATAAATTCAATTTCAAACAAACAATTTTCTTTTTTTTTTTAATTTGAACTAATTTTTTTTTTTGTTTCTCTCATTATTTACATTTTATTCTTTTTATTTTCTCTCTCTCTCTCAGTACTTTCTTTACTTTTCAGAATAATTTTCACACATTATTTGAGGACAATTAATTTTACTTTCAATTCTTTTGACAAACACTGAATCATTTATTAAAAATTAGAAACTCTCTTAAAATAGTGCAAATACAATTTAAGAGAATAAACGCTGCACTAATTAAACAATCATCCAAATAAATTGGATTAAAAAAATATTTCCGGAAAATATTAAAACTTTTCTTTTCATTCGCATAATATTTCAATGCTTTTTCCATAAAGTTTGATAAAATTGTAAAGAAATTTTCTTCTCACAGAAAAAGAAATTTTTATACGAGAAATTTCACGAAATTATTGTATTATGTAACCTTCCAAATTCATCAAAAATGACATTCTTCTTGAATTTTGCAATTTCATCCGGCTCTACAAATGCACTCCATGGCAAAGAACCTTGAATAAGCTCAACCAACGAATAAAATAAACTCCAGAAATCATCGACCGGACCCTAAAGATAATTAGATGAACACAATCATTTTAATTACTTGTCATAGTCGGAAGATGATTTAGAACTCACAATTTTAGAAATTATCACTGTGGTTGCTACAGCATCTTTAGTAATCAACTTAAAAAGTTACCTTTAATTGACTAACTTTTGAAACTGAAAAAGAAAGGAAGCGATGACAGGATAAGATACAAAGTATTCAAAAGTTGCATTCCTTTTGAAGTTTTGAAGTACGAAATCATTAAATTATCCCACTAGCATTATCTTAAATTCTACGTATGATAAGTGAACTGACCTGATCACGTCTTTCGTGTACCGTTACGGATACATACCTTACGGTTCCACGGAAACCAGCATAATACCTCTCTTTCCGTACCACACCGTCATCAAAGCGGTACTGTCGAGCCATACCAAAATCAACAATATAAATTGTTCGTCTGTGCGGGTGCAGCCCAATGCAAATATTCGAAGGTTTTACATCTCTGAAAATATATCTAATAGAAAAGTTTGCGATCTGAGTTGACCTATGACATTGCCAGGTGGATTTTATTTCATTTCATAAAGCTAATCTAATCGAAATAAGCACATATGCTTAAACAATTAAACGTTAGCTATTTTAAACAAATTTTAGAAATTTTAAATTCATCTAGCACTGTCAATGTTTCAATAACTTCTGGCATTGTTGAAATTATTGCAAATTTACTTCTTCACGAAGAAGTAAAACTAAACTGCAAAATTATACAGCAAAATATTCGTTGTATTGCATTGTCTCTTGTCACATGTACCATCTTTTGAAATAAATTCAAACTTAAATTTTTCTTTTGCCTCTTTACAAACCACAAATCCATGTACCGATGAATATATCCAATATCGTGGACAGCTTTTAAAGCTGTCACCGATTGCAGTCCCACATGAGAAACTGTTGAAATGCTTAAACGTCTCTTTGGCTGATGCTTTCTTAGTTCACTCAAATTTTTGCCCAATATTTGCATAGCGATAAAATTATAACCACAAAAATTACCACTTGCATACTGAAATAGCATTTAAATCAATAATATTACATTTAAATTTATTTCTTTGACTCGAAAAAAAAAAAAAAAAAAAAGAATTATGAATTCAACAAAAATTTACCACCAAATTTGTTAGTAAAATCACACACAATGCAGCAAGTAAGTGTATTCAACAATTTTTCTTTTTTTAAAAAAAGAGAAATTTACAAATTGTGGTATATGCGGTGTTCCCCGAAGCTTTAGCATCACCTTTTGCTCGAGTATCATTCGACCCGGTTCATGATCTTCCGGTTCAATTTTTATCGCCAATACTGATTTGGTACGCTGGAAAGTGACGTGACGATATCTGGTAGCAATCATGGAGACACTTATAAAATTTTTTACACTTCGATGATGAAAGCTTCTAATCATTATTCACTGACATATTTCAAAGGTATGCAATAAACTAGAAAAATTTACTTCATCGGTGACACGATAAATTTGACCAAATCCACCGCCACCGATCATTTTATCGATTCGAAATTTACAATCAATTATTTGTCCTTCTTTAAAATACTGTGGAGCATGTCGTCCATGCCGATGACTTCGTTTTGCATATTTTAAATTAACTTTGCCCTGTCATATTTTAAATTATTTGATTTACAAAGTTTTTGAAATTAGTTTTTCTCTTTTTTTGAAATCAATAGCATAACTGAGCAGAACAATAGAAGAAGAAATGGTAATGAAAGAATTGATTGATTGATTGTAAAAATTCAATTAAATTCAGCAAAAACTTAAGTAATTCAGAAGTGGAATAGATCCTTTCCATCCATCCATCCATCTTTTCTCATTTGTTTCATTCAAATAAAAAAATGAAATAAATCTCTGTCACTCCTCTAAACATATAAGCAATAACATTCTAATCAATATTACGATGCAAACCATTTGCAAGCAAATTTACCGCCTCTTCCTTTGGAATCACTTCGACATCGGCCATGACAACACCGCCCTTCCTCTTCGCCCACTCTAATTCTTCCCAATTCCGCCCTCGTTTTTTTGTCAGAATTCAGACTAAACAAAGATTGTTCTAGTTGTTCTGATTAAAGTTAGACTTTGAAATACTCTTTGGACACTGGCACTGATCAAAACTAGGAGAGAAATGAACATTTAAAAATAAGTTAATTAAATTCTCATGTTAACTTATTTTCTCAAATTAACTTATCCTAACAAAGTTATTTACTTCTCAATTCAACTTTTTGCAATGTTTTTAGATTTTATTCCTTGTAAAAGTTTTATTGATCAAATCAATGCCAAATTTCAATAATTTTCAAAGCAATGTATTTATCTTTTAACGCTTACAAAAAACTTGCAAGCATCACAGACCTTTTTAATATTCGACCACCGTGCAACACACAATATAAATAAAATGTCTGTTCGATTTAAATTTACAATTTATACAATTTGAATTTAGCAAAATGTCCAAATGAACAATTTGCAGTTTTAGCAGTTATGTTTGAAAGAAAATGGGAAAAAGTTTTGCATTGCTAATAGATTTATATCAAAAAAGCTTATCATATCACTGGAATCATATCACTTTTACAGCATTAACCGAAAAGGCAAAGAAATCGCTTATCAGTTACTACTTAACTCCTTTATCAGCAAAAGAAATAAGTGACAAAATATGAAAAATTTTTCTTACATTAATCTCTTTGCTACTTTTTTCTTTACCAAAAATTTTTTCTTAATTAGAAGAGTCTTTGCCAGAATAATTGAAAAGTAGAAAAAGTAAAAAAAAAAAAAATAAAATAACAAAAATATGGTCTGAAAAACTAAAAAGAAAAAATTGTTAAAAGATTATAAAAATTCATTTATAACTAATGCAACTGTCTTTTATTCTGAACTGAGTGATCAATTTAAAATAAGAGGAGATGTTAATATAAACATATAAGTAAGCTATTTTATGATTTAAATATTCCACAGACAATGAGTAATTAGTTAAATTACTAATTAGATAAAGACAATTACTTTTCGACCTATTAGTAAACTACAATGAGTCATAAATTATAACTTCTTCTGAGAAACAGCGCAAATTAAGTGAATTCTTTAAATGAACTCTGCTTGAATGAATTGCTGCCGAAACTGTAAATAAAAACGATTGAAAAAAGAGTTCAGAAAGATAATATTCTGATAATTAAAATTGTAGCTGATAATGATAACTCTGATATAATACAACCAGCTATCATTAGAAAGCCTTAAAAAATGAAATACTTAGTCATGGCTTACCCAAAGTAACTAATTTTCTACTCAACTTAAATTCTTGTTCTTTCCAATCAATCATCCATAAATATCGTTCTTTTTCATCAATCATTACCTTATTTGTTACTTCTCTCCATAAACTGCAATATGACATAAATTAAGGGCAAAGGTAACAACAGCAATTGTTCGGGTACAAGAGACAAAGAAGTATGATCAAGTGGACAGCATTTATTATCTCGCAATTTGCTGATAAAGTTGGAACGTTGGTCATTACACGTTTGTTCGATATTTCAGGTAAATTAGAGAAGTGAATAGGTGGGTGGGTGGCTTTTGAGCTCATTCACAACCGAAGTTTAGAAATGTCAGCGACTACAGATTATTAACCCACACAGAAAAGAGGAAAGATCTAAAGTGATTTTCAAGTCTACCTTGCATCATCAAACGACACTAGATGACCAGGGGCTCCTCGCCAGGTGGTCAGGTGGTCCTCGCCAGGTGGTCAGGTGCTAGTAGAACTTTTTGGACCTCTATGGAATCATTTCTTGAAAAATTATATTTAGAAAACCATGGAAATATAAGAGAAATTGCAATGCCATCAATTGACAGAAAAAAACTAATTTGTTATAATAATGATTTATAATTAATAGTTCAAAGGTAACAAATTGAGTGCACGGTCTTGCAGTCTCGCTAGCACTTTCGAAAACCTTGCAGAAAATGCACTTTTTAAGAATTTCTCGAGTCTCAAGATTTCTCGAATTGGTTTTTCTGTGCCATAAGAATAAACAACATTTTTCCTCGGCAAAAATATGCTGATTGCGTTGGTCACTCTTAATTGTATCGGCCATTCTTGATTGTGTTGGTCACTCTTAACTGCTTTGGTCACTCTTGACTTTATTGGTCATTATTGATTGTGTTAATCATTCTTAATTGTGTCGGTCACTTCTTTCATTAGAGAAGTGTGTATTCAAATTAGCCATAATTATTTAAAATTTATTTACAGTTATGGACTAATTATTTTGTTCTCGCATAATATTTCGATTAAAATACAAAAAAAAAAACGATGGATGAATGAATCTGTTTGTTTGGTTTATGATTTTTTGAAATTATCAAAGAACGGTGCTAATAAATTAGTACCAATATGAGAGATTTAGAAAATATTGAATGACATTTTAATTTTTGGCATTTTCTATGTTTGAATGCATAATTTTATCAGACACAATCTGATTTAGATAATTCTTGAATTTTTGGAAATGGATGGGTTGGACAACTGAGCGCTTTATTGTAGCTTGGCAACGGCGGTACTTCATCATCGTTCAGTGGACTAGCATAGCAAGAGCCTTGTGAGTCACATTTGATCATATATGGCTTACTATAATCAATCGGGGCTGGAACACTGGTTGGATTAACGCCTGAAATAGAATTGGCCTCATCCAGTCTTCAGTTATACCTAAAAATATTGAATTGAAAAAAACACAATTAAACTTTAGAATCTAAAATATACAAAATGTGAAATTACAAAAATTCCGTCTATTGCATCATTAATTTTGAAATTGGAAAAAGTTGTAAATATGAAAATTATATGTAATTGCAGTAAGTATGCGAAAATTGTGCAATGCTAAACGATAAATATGCTAAAATGATAATTAATTTGTGATAATAAGTGCAATAGTTACTTAAATGAAAAAAGGAAAGTGATAAAACAGAAAAGTTTGTTAAAGCATTTATTATTTATTGAGCGGTCATGAAATCTCCTATAAGTCTAAATACTATTTTTTTTTCTTTTTGTTTCTTTAAATTTGAGAGAAAAAAATTCTTTTCGAATTTCTTTAAATTTCAAACTATTAGAAAATTATGGAAAATATTAACCACAAAGGCTCTCATCGCTGTCATCGACACTCCTTGATTGTGTACAACAGGTACATGTCCACAATAAACAAATGCCACTAACTATGATGCAAAATGAGATAAATTGACAAACCATCTGGCAGCCTACTAAATTACAAAAAACGATAAAAATTGAGGATAGTCACAGTTAAATCATAATTAAAAATAAATTTTTCACATTAAAAACATCTAAAAAAGTTTTTCTCGACGTCAATCGTTGCGTATTATCACGTCAGTCATCTACTATTGAATGACTCGTAACTGACGTGAATACTTATTTATTGTAGTTTTAGAAATGATGGCTAACTCAAAGCTTCTATTTAATTTATCTTCAATTATGGTTTACCTCATATTCTACATCCTTGAAAAGTATTTTCCGAAAAAAAGACTTTCGAAAAAAAAAGTTTAGCCTAAATGTCGAATAATTTGCTACATTTGAATCACAGACAAACAAAACTTGAAATCAAATTTTGCAAAAAAAAAAAAAAAAAAAAAAAAAAAAAAACAAATAAATCAGATTTACAAAAAGATTTAAATCAAATTTCATGAAAACTTTTCTAATTTTGTTTAAAAAAAATCAATAGGAATACTTACTTCTATTATTTTGATAAACATAATTATTAGTTGTAGCAAAAATATTTGGATAAGCAATTTTCCTTCGTGCTAATTCCAAATGCCTTTGAAGTATTCCTTTTAAAAAATTACGGAATTGCTGTTCCGAAATATTTCGAATACTCTCAATTGAAACATTAGAATAAACTTGATCAGTTATATCGACAACTTCCTTATCATTCAATGTATAGAATGATTTATAATGCGACATTGTCGAATTAAGTTTAATTGATTCATACTGAAATCAGTTAATTACTTTTCTTTGAAATTTGAAATATGTATGTCAGATGTTTCACTTTTTTAGCTCTGCCATGTGAAATTGTCTATTATTTAATTTTTATAATTTTATAGTAAAAATTCAGAGCTTTTTCAAGAATACACAGTATAACTATATGTTAGACTAAAGTTTTTTGCAGTCACTTTTTAAAACTATTTGAATTTCACATAGAAGTTAAAGTAACATTTTTTTATGGGTTGACATGATGAAGTTAAACATTAAACTAGTTTACAGCAAATTGAAGAAGAACGAACTTTTGTTTTTGATTTTGAAAAATTTAATGCAATGTTACTACCTCTTACACTTTTCAAGTGCAAAATTTTTGGAGTAAAATAATCTTTTGTGTTAATTTTCTTTTTTTAATTTGCATATTTGCTATAAGTAATCAATCAATAACCCATGTACCCCAGAGGAAAGGTATGAAGAAAAATGTGAATTAGAGTGAATATTTACGTCGTCTCTCAGATGAGTGTCATTGTCGCTTGTCGCATTTCTCATTGTTGCTAGTCGCAAGCTCTTCTCAAATTCAACCATACTAATTAATTGGTCGTAATCAGAGGAATGTTTACTCCAATTAGGAAGTGAAACCGACTCACTAAACAGTAGTGTAAGAGAGAATATTAGCCGTAAAGAAGTAGTAAATATTCGTAGCGCTGAATGTCGCCGCCGCCAATGTTTGTTTATTTGCCAAAACATTTCAAGAAATGAAACATTGAAATAGATTAACAGTTAAGCTTTTTCTGAAATTGAAATAGTTTTAATTTTAGTTGGAAATCAAATAGTATTCTTAAAACTTAAATTTAATTTAAATAATTGTAATTCGTAATGAGAAAAAGAATTTAAATAAATGATAAAAAAAAATAGTAGGAAATTGAAGATATCAGCCAGAATCATATTTGGCAGTAATCAGTAATGATAAAAATTTAAAAAGTACAAGGAAGAATAGGTAAAAAACAAACATCAAAAGTAAAAGATGAATGAGTGGTAAAAGAGTGATTGTGAAAAATTAATCAATAAAATCGTTTATATCAATAATGGAGAAATGAATTGGTGACTAATTAGAGACTAAAAATAAAATGCTTGATCAAATTTCACTTTCAATAATTATTCTATCAAGAATAAAGATAAGATAAGAACTGATAAAGAATTTGATGGAAGAAAAAAAGAGTTAAGTAAAGAATTGTAAAAGTTATTTCATTTGCTTATCAAAATTGAAGTAATTTAAACTTGCTATGATATTCAACACCTTTCTTTATCAGTACCTCTGTTCACCTTCTTTTGTCTAATAATTCCAAAGAATCATTACATTCAGAACTGAAAATGTGTCAACTTAAAAAAGAAAAATTGTCAAATTTAGCGCGTTTGCCGTACCTTTCATATAATACTAAGCCCACAATTTTATCGTTTAAATTATTACTCATTAAAAGAGACCCCTTTACCTGCATTTTTTACCTGTATATTTATTGAATATGATATGAGGTATCATAAATTCCACTTTTGATGACATTTAATGTTCTTATGAATAATAATTTCCTCATCTTTTCTACTTCTTCTTTTTCACCTTTTTTAGAACAATCTATTTGGTATCAGTGAAGCAATAATATGAGAGAGTGACATCATAGTACAGAGATCACTTTAATGAGTGAATTAAAATAAATGGAGGAAAGTGCCACTAAGATAGTGTCACACTGATAAGAATAAATGTTGGAGAGCAGTGACAGTGGCAGGTGAAGAACTAAGTGCAATTTTACGTTGCTTTCCTCCAGAAAACGACTTGCGACAGGGTCGAAACATCGATCGCAAAACACAGCGAAAGGTCACATAGTGCGCTGTCTTTTCATCAGACATTCTCTGTGCCTCTGTCTTTCTCTCTCTCTCTTTGTCCTACTCTTCAACGAGGCCAGAGGTCACCAATGTCCTAGGCTAAAAAACGTTTCAGGAGTGCTGTAACAGTTCAGAGTGATTAGTTCACAGTAAGATTGTAAAATTTAAACTGATTCCAACTTCGGAAGAGATTTTATCAAGCGCAGTTGTCTTGTCAGATTCATCTGCTTAAGAGTCTCTTCACCAAATTGGCGCATACGTCCATTTTACTTCTCATCAGTTGTTGGATTGATCTGTGAGAAGGAAGCGAACATCTCAGGTGAGAACAGCACTGTGCACCTGTGCGGCATGGTCGCACGACTCGTGCATGTTTCAGCATCAGTCGCACGACTCGTGCATGTTTCAGCATCAGTCGCACGACTCGTGCATGTTTCAGTATCAGTCGCACGACTCGTGCATGTTTCAGCATCAGTCGCACGACTCGTGCATGTTTCAGTATCAGTCGCACGACTCGTGCATGTTTCAGCATCAGTCGCACGACTCGTGCATGTTTCAGCATCAGTCGCACGACTCGTGCATGTTTCAGTATCTGTCGCAAAGTTACTTGCAGGAACGAATGAGCGAACAACGATGACTGATGGCTGTGCACCACTCATTGAAGCAATTTCGGCAAAATGCAGCAATGAGTGAGTCCATGGGTAGGTTAGTGCGCAACTTGTGTCTCTCACTGTAATTTTTAGATTGTTCACTTTGCGCCTCTCTCTCTCTTGAAGTGTCCCCTCTTCTAGGCTTCACAACACAAGGCGCTGGTCTTTTCGGCACTTTGCACTATGATACGACCATACAGCCGGGAAGTACAATGTTTGAATCAAATATCCATTTTCAGGCCTTTTTGTTAAATTGCGATGCGTTACTCCGTGAATTCTGGCAGGAATGGCCGTTATCATTGTAGTCCGGCAGTATGATTATTCACCCCTTTCAGGTCTCAGAGTTCCTTCCTACTTTGGCTCTAAATCACCGAGAACTGCAATTTTGTTGTCTGCAGGACACTTCCGGTTGAGACGACGAAAGTCGCTGTGGAATTTAGTTGTTTGTGGAGGGTCAGCTGAAGAGTTAAGGTATGTATGCTGACAAGGACAGTGTGTTGCTTGCAATGGAGATGTAAGGAGGAGATAATGCGGTTAGAATGACCTATCAGCAAGTTAACAAGATTGACCCGTCAGCAAGTTAACAAGTTGACCTGTCAGCAAGTTAACAAGTTGACCTGTCAGCAAGTTAACAAGATTGACCTGTCAGCAAGTTAACAAGTTGACCTGTCAGCAAGTTAACAAGATTGACCTGTCAGCAAGTTAACAAGATTGACCTGTCAGCAAGTTAACAAGATTGACCTGTCAGCAGTTAACAAGATTGAACTATCAGCAAACAACAAGATTCGAGATGACAGAATTCTTGAAGCCAACTGCTGAGTAGAAAGTTCGGTTTTAGATTAATCTGACCGAAGTACGTGACCCACCACATTCTTTCATTGAAAGCGGCAATGTCCCGTCGACCTTTACTGTTCGTAGAAAATTAGTATATCCTTCGAATAGACAAGTTGCAACGTGAAGTACGTCTGCCAAACCTAGATTTATTTGGACTGTTTCTGATGTCGGATGGCCCTGCAAGGTTGATGAGCTCCATTTGCCCGAGTTTGAAGTTTTGGCTTTCCTTGCCCGAAGTTAAGCCCATCTTACCCATCCACATACCTTCTCTGACCTTCCTTACTTACCTGGCTTGGGAAGTCCCGTCGCAAACATATGACATCACTTCTTCCACAATAAGAAAGTTCCGCAGAGGAAATGAAACAAATGGCAGTTATTTGTCAAATACTTTCAGTTTATGAAATTTTCTTGACGCTTATAAAAGTTGCAAAAAACTTTGAAATGAGCATTAAGAAAAACGAAAAAAGTTCCGAATAGAAGGAATACTTTCATTTTTTTCATGTGATAAAAAAGTTTCAAAATGAAGTAATTAACTTTTCCAGAAGTGATGTTTATGTTTAAATTTAATTAAAAATAGAAAATTAATTAATGAAATAACTATTGTTTACAAATGAACATTAATAACATTCCACAGTACGGCAGAATAAAATACGACAGAAAAAAAGGAAACAATCATTGAATTGTTATTATTTTATGGCATTTGATTGACAATTTATTACTGTGCCATAAAATGCTTAGCTATAAAGTGATAATATGATTACATGAAATAATACAATAATAATGTAATAAATAAATAATAAAAAATAATAACAACAATAATAATAGTTTTTTTTCTTTTTTTGATATCACTTTTTATCATTCACTGTTATCATTTTTTGACTAATCAATAAGCGAGATGCAAAAGTATTGTCAAAAGCATTATCACATATTGATATATATACATTACTAATGAAGATCAAAGCAGAATGTTTCCTTTTTTCTTACTTATGGCGATGCTACTGATTTCACTTTTTGAGAACTTCAAAACTTTTTGAGAAGAAAATGAAAATATTAGATTGAGAAAAAATGAGACTTCAAAAAGTTTGAAATTGTTAGTAGAAAATTCTTATTAATATGAATTCTTAATGGCAATTTTTACAAAATTGCCGTTTAAAAAAAAAAAAAAAAAAAGATGCAAAATTTAATAGAAAGCATCAATTTTACGACATCATTTAAAGAAGTTTACGGTTGCGAACAATTTTCATTTATAATGAAGAAATTATGAAATGTTATTATTATTATTGTTATTGTTGCATGAAGTAAATTTATTTTAGTTTCATGTATGAAAGAATAGCGGTGACGAGAATTGATCGTCAATTTAAATTCATCAAATATTGGAATCACAAATAATGACAAAAGGACAGAAACAAGGAAAGAACTGTTCGATAGTTTTTACTTACTGGAAAAGTGTGCTGTGACAAATATATTCAAATCTAAGTAGCTTTTATGATGAAAGAAATTTTTTTTCTTCTTTGGCGCATTTTATCAAAATAGCGCCATTTTTTTTCAATAATAGTAGAACTAAGAATAATTCTCCTACAGAATTTTATATAGCAAAAAAACTTAGGTTGCAAAAACCGCCACGTAAGTTAGGTAAAATGATTAAAAATAGGGAATATAAATTAGTAACTATCAATTGCTATTTTCAAAAAAAGGGGAAAAGTAGAGCAAACAATTCGCATTAAATGAAAGTTCAAAAATATGAAATTTTCGATGTTTTGAATATCTTTTCGACTTCAGCGCTCAGTGTAACAATAAATAATATAAATAATTTGCTCTCAAAAAAAGAAAGCAAAAGGGATTGTAAGCTTAAGAAAAGCTAAAGAACAAACGAGAATAGCTAATATCGATTCATCACGCCTAACTTTACTTTCATCAATAAATCTTTGAAATGCTTCATAAATATTTCGAAGAAAAAGAGAAAATATTAAATTTTAGTTGACAAACAATCATCGCTCCAAATTTAATTAATTCCGTTTCAACGATTAGTCACCGAAATTTTGAAAGGCAAAAAAAAAGATTTTTTTCTTATCTGCGAAATGAGAAATTGCAATGAGACGTTTTGCGCCATTCGTCCGTTTCATCTTTTCATTCACATTTTTACTAGAACCTAAAGTAATGTCTTTTCCATTCCAATAAAGTAGCACTTGAGCTAAAATCTGCTGAGAGAGAGTTAAATTTAATCGTAATTAAGTTAAATGTTCGTAGAAAGCCAAAAGTCTTCTAACTGCTGCAATCATTTTTCTCAACAAATTAAATTACATTATTTTTTAAAAAGATTGTTTTCTTGAGCGCAAAAGTTGCAAGTATAAGTGTCTGTGCGCTAATATCAGTGAAAATTGAAGTAAAGAATGTGCATGAATTTTGCAACGAAATGGTAAATAATTTCAACAGAAATGTTATCATTATTATAAAAAAAAAATTTAAATTCTGTTATTTTTTTCAAAGATTTTATAAATTCAAAGATTTAAAATGAAAGCATAAAAGAGAGAACGAACTATTCATCAAAAAATAAAAAATTCTTCGTTCAGTGAATGAACAAATTTACTTTTAAAAGTAATATCAAAGTATAAATCAATATTTGTATTACACCTTATGCTAATGTTGATTTTTTGAATTTAAAATGAGCTTTTATTTTTTACAATTTTTGGGAGTTGTAATGATAATCACTTCAAAACTAGTTGTCATGAAATATACATTATTACAAGGTGAAATCATTTATTAGCAGAATAAAAAAAATTGAACTTCGACTTTTGTTGTTTAAAATTATGGGAAGAAAATGCACTGAAAAAGGATTTTTGTTTAAATAACTGTTTTAGTTGTTGTTATTATTATTAAAATAAATTAAACTTTTAAAAGTACAACAAAATAATGAAAGAAAGAATAATATTTTAACCAAAAATTTTTTAAACATTGATGTTAGAAAATAGAGATTTTTATGAACAATCATTAACAATTATTGATACCAATTATTTCAGAGAATTGTCACACTTTTTTCTTTAGAGCTTAATTAGAAGAATTGAAATGACACGATGGAATGAGAAATCTGCGACAAATATTTTTCTTGTTAATATGAAGGTATTTTCAAATTTAAAAAGAAAGCAGTAAAATACTTTTTAAAAAATTTTGCGTTATTTTAAGTTTTAAAAAATGTTTCAATCATAAATGCAAACAATTTCTTTTTTTTTTTTTTTTTTTTTGTCTTTCATTGCTTTTTTTTGATCTCATTTTCATATTTATATTATTAACTTCCATAAAAAAATGCTTCAACTTTAAAAAAAAAAAATCAAAATAGGAAAAATTAAAAAATATTATTGAAAAAATATTTATTTGAATTTTCAAAAAACTAAATTTCCAGCTATAAATATAAATAAATTATAATACTGCCCGCAAATCTTCGTATCATTTATTTAATAATATATATTAAACTTGCAACCTTATCATAATTTTGTCTTAATTCATTTCAACAATTATATTATATTTAATAATTTTATTAATTTTTTATTGCATGTAGGAAATTTATTATTGATTTTGTTAAATAACAAAACGTTAAGTTACAATAAACCAAATGAATTTAACTTGGCTTATTTAACAACCAGTTTATTGAGCCAATTAATTTCTGCTATAGTTAATAATTTTAATTTTGAATTGTCTATTAGCTTTAAGTCTAAGCTTCACACTCCCTTATTCGGTTAAATTTCAGGTCTTAAAATTAAAGGATGCAGAAATAATACTTCAATCAGAAGCAGCAAACGATAAAGCAGCCAGCTGGCAGTACAATTAAACAAAATGTTTGTGTAAATATTGTTGATAAGCATTGATCGAAATTGTCATCACTCTTCAAAATAATGAAAATGCACTAAAAGGACAAAGTATTGAGAATAACAAAGTAAGTTATTTGATTATTTTAATATTAACAATGCAAATGCAAATCTTACAATAATTATGATTAATTATTGATTACATAAAAGATGGTAATGAAAAAATTTTTTATAAATATCCAACAAAGATTGTTTCACTCATTTAATTATCAATTTGTCAACTCATTTAAACTTCTAAACTTTTCTGTGACATTCAATTTCACGAAGTGTTCAGTCAAATTTTCGTTAGCTATTTGATATTTCAGCTAATTTCCTGTCTTATTCTTAGTTACTTTCAATTATTACTATCCCAAAGTACTTCACAATTCCTTCTGTCTTCTTTTTGTTGCATTCATTCAGAGTGATTCATCAATAATTATTGAGAAAATTAATCGCTTTAAAATTTCTTTGAGAAGTCTCTGTGTCATAGAAGTAAGAGAAACTTTAAATAATTTATCTGTAAAGACAAGAAAGAAGAAAAGAAAAAAAAAAGATAGATAAAAGTAATTTGAAAATGGCATTTACTTGATGTTTTAATGAAAACTTTAAAAACCAGTCGGTGTTAAAAAATAATAAAATGAAATGAAATGAGTTGTTATGAGGCAAAGATTGATTATCAAGAATTTCTCACTTGCATTTATTGCATAATCGTAAGTAAAGTAATAAAAAAAATAACAGATAATAAAAGGAAATGATAAGTTTATTTTACTTGGATGCATAATTTTTATGTGTCTTTTTTAAATGGCCTAGCAAATTGAGCCCAGCATCATTTAATTGTTTATTGGGCCGACTGATCGGTTCTATCTGGTAATCCACTGATAATGCAACCTGGCTCCAGTGCATCATCACTTTCTTCGGTTAGTTTGATATGATAAGCTGTCTCTTATCATCACCAAAAAGCTAATTTCATGTGACCACAGAGACGACGACACCTCCTCAATTGACAGAATCTGTTAATTACAGTACGATAGTTGCAAATATTTTTCAAGTAGTACTAATCACATTTTTATTAATTTGTACAAAAAGCAGATCAGTTTTGATCCAAAATTTCAAATTTGTGATAAATTATTTTTTTTTTGTTCAATTTCAATTACCGCACAGTAAATTTCATTGATTCCACTAATATTTTCACATTTTTTTTCCTTCTTTCATACATAATTTCATATTTTGCAGACTAAATATTTGCTTTTTGAGAGAAAGTTTATAAATTTATAAAAACGTTCTTTTTAAAGTTACTTTACTAATTATTCACTGGAAAAAGCTTTCTTTTTTTAATCTCAATTTTTAATCTTAAATCATTTCCAAAGCATTCATGAAGCACTGTCAACTTTCGCCTTTTTTTAAACTTCAAATGTTAAATTTTTTGAAACTGTCAGCAAAAGATATCAGTGGCAATTACATATTTTGCAAGTAATTTTATTGCTTTTATTTTTGGCAAGTTAAAAAGACAGAGACATTTGCGCTTTTCAGATATTAGCTTCCAATAAGCGCCTAAAGAAAAATAATAGAACAAAGACTACAACTGTCTTTCTGAAACAATCAACAGAATGCAACAAAAATTGTTTGTTTTTATCCAAATTTTCAACAAATATTTTTTCCTTTAAAAAAATATATTACTTTTTTTTTAGTAAAAAAAATACTTTGCTCCAAAATTTTAACAAAAAAATGCATAAATAATGAAAGTTATACTTCAGTGAAACTATTAGGTAATTTCATTTGGTACCACGGCCGATTAGGGAAGAAGGCCACATGCGAATTACTCCAACAAAATGGACAATTTCTTGTTCGATCAGCGCGTTCCAAAGTGGATTTGGTGCGTGTTTTTCAGTTAACTTTCAAATAATTCTTTTCATAATGATAAAATAATATGTGACACTTTCGAGTAATCAAAGAAGTGACTACCTGTGGACAGTTATGATAAGTTTGATAAGGCAGTCATCTAATCAAGGAAAGAAATTTAATGTCAACAAAAAAAAAAAAAAAAAAAAAACTGAAACTTTGATGATTTGGGGATCAATTTTATTTACTTATTTGAAATATCATATATTTTAATCTTAAAATTTCTAAATTCAAAATTTATTTCTAAAATATCTTTGTTTTGTGAATTGTAGCAAATAAAAGTGGTACTATCAGTAAAATGGAACAATAGACACTACCATTTTGGCATCAAAAAAAATGGCACATATTTCAGCATTGAAGAATTACAGTTCGATAGTATTGTCCAATTGATTTCCTTTTATTTTACCAGCAAAGTTAGATTAACCGTTTCTACAACTCTTCATTTATGCAATTAGATCTATTCAGTACTCTAAACTAATACTTATCATTGTATCTATCTATTTCACTACTTTATTAACTTATCATAATGCTAAATAAAACCAATAACTTATCATATCAATTAACTTATCACAATGATTTGGCATAGATCAAGTAATGCTCATTTCCCACATTCTTTGGATCACTTAACATTCAATAATTTCAGCATCCTTTAACAAAACGGTCAAAGGCGATCCTTCTGCAACCACTTTATCGTTGCGTTGAATTTGACGCACCGTACGTTTTGAGAGGAGCGCTGAATTTAGCCTTTGTTTGCGCTGTTGTAATATTCCTTTACACGTTTACTATCAAATAATCTATGATTTATTCAACATTTACGCTCAATTTGTCTAATAAGAAACGATGCTCATTGTATTTCATTTAGATTTTATCGAAATTAACAAATTTTGCAACAACAAAAAAAAAAAAAAAAATTTAAAAACAACTTCAACAAAATTTAAAAATTAACAAAAAAAATTTTCTTACCGATTAACTTTTATGGTACGATAGAATAAGTATTCGAGTATTGCGATAATGTTATTTAAATATTTGTTATTAAATTAAAATGCATTCTCCCAGTTTTGATTGTGTGTCAAATGCAAATTATTGTTAAATCATTTCCACTAATTCATTAAGTGATCGAATGAAACTCTGAAAAGTCTGAAACTGCTCGTTCAGATTTGAAAGACAATGAAATATTCACTGATTTATGAAAATTTATTCACAGATTTCTTAAATTCATCACTGGTCTCATATAAAACTAAATGAATTTATGGCTTAATTTTTGCATGCAAATTAGAACGAAATTTTGGGGAAAAAAATTCAAATCAAATTAAAACAGAAATTTAATTTAAATGAAAAAATCTTTGCGAAAGAAATAGAAGAAACATTATTTTTTGATGCTAGTAAAAAGGACTTTTTAACATTCTGAAATAATTCTTTTTTCTCATTGAAAGAAAAAATGAAATTTAAATGCTATCCATATCACAAAGTGGTTGATATTGTTGTTGAAGTGATCGATATGAAGGAATCAAGTAAAGTATCCTGTTCATCCTTATCATTTATCACTTACTGATTCAATCCACTCCATTTTTCCACTATAAATGTAATTCAAATGAGAAGTAAATAATGAAAAAAATGCTTTCTTGCAATTGCAAACTTTAACTTTAATATTTCTTTAAAAAATTTTTAGAATAATTCATTCTCACTTCTGTAGTTCCTTATAAAAAGAATTAAAAATTGAGTTTTTGAATTAATTTCATTACTCGAATCTATTCGCCTTCATTTTTTGATGCAAAATAAACTATAATTTGATTTCCAGTGATATATCAACGCGCCAATATTTTAATCTACCGAAGAATTTACCTGAAAAAAAAGATGCTATTTACGAAACATCTTACTTAAGTTTTCGAACAAACTTTGTTAATTTAAACAAAGATAATTTATAAGATGAAAACTTTATTCTAACTTAACCGAAAAAAGAAAAATAATTTCAAGTACAAAGCACTCTTTGAATAAATTATCTGAATTTTGCTAGTGCAATTGCTATTGCAGTAAACAGTAATCATTAAACTAATGTCGTCATACCCATATCTATCATTCCGGTATTCAAGAAAGCAGTGATCAGTATGGAATATTTTTTCAGGAGATGATCAAGTAGCTAAAGGGATGAACATACCTTCAAGTGATAACTGCCAAAGCTTGAAATTACGAAAATGATTTCTTGAACAATATTTGTTCAAATTACTGCAAAAAAGTTTCACATATAATTTCAAAAGTATCACAGTTTCAACTTTTACTGTAAAAATTAATGCATCATTTTGTAAATTTTTAAATTAATTTACAATAGCATTCGAAAAACAACAATTATGAATTCTTGACGATAAAAATAAGTAATCAAATTATTATATGAGAAATGCATATTAGTCACAATTAACTAATTCATACCGAAGATTCATACACTTATTAGTTGACTTATTCGATAAGCAAATTATACTGTTGGAAATGTTTAATGAAGAAAGAAAGAACAATCTCACCTGCAAAAGCAACAATATAAGATCAAAAGCACAGAATTTGTATTTGTAAAACAAAAAAAAAAAATTTGTTAAATGACAGAATTAGAGGATACTTTGAATTGACACTTTGTCCTTTATGTTTTATTAATTGTCCAGTTGATTATTAAACAATGGTCATTGTCCAGTCGAAGTGCTAAATAAACGAAATTATGCAAAACTTCAGCGAACAATTTGTAATGAAGCAATTTAATGGAACAAAAAGGAAAAAGAAGGAAATTTTTGTGAAACTTAAATTAAGTTTAATTTGGATGCGATAAATTTGATGCAAGACCAAAAAACTTTATTTACATCAAAATTAAATTTGATGTAAATTATACTGTTGGAAATGTTGCATCAAATCAAATTTATCGCTTGCATCAAATTTATCGCATACACGATAAATTTGATGCAAGACCAATAGTTTCGATTCCAGATTATTCTAGTCTTCCACACTCAAAAAAAAAAAGAATTTTGATCTCATTTGCTGAGCTTATTTGTCAACAAATTTCTTGTTTACGTAATATATCAGCAATACCTTGGCTGATCACTTCAATGATATTTCTTGTCAAAATTCAAAAAAATGAAAGCTTAATGAATTCAACGTTACACTTTTTCCTGTTCATTTACCTTCGACACGAAATATGCTCGTTCGCTTTCTTCTGCTATTCTTGAATTAACTACAAAATCATCTTTTCTTCATTCTCGGCGATGAATAACCAAGATTAGAATTTGATGCTTAATGGTAAATAATATCATTCAATGAACTTTTATTAGTATCAATAATCTAATGCTCTCACTGATAAGAACATTAGATTATTGATACTGCTATCGGTGACAGTGTCACAGTTATTTGTGAATGGATAATAGGGAGGGAATTCAGCTTTAGTTTGCTTAAAAAGTGAATTCATTGTGCTCGTATTAGTAAAAAAAAAATTTTTTTTTTCTCATAAAATATTTTTTTATTCGAAGGGAAATATCACAGATTTTATCAGGGACACAGCATGCATATGTATTTACCATTTGTTATCGACCCAATTTAGTTAAGTAATTGCAAATTGAATATAATCAATAAGGCATCCGTTATTACTAATAACTAAGGTCAGAGGTTAGCTATTATCTCTGTTAAGTATTAGTGGTATTACTCCTTTTTGTTTTGTAGGTAATATTACTTCTAGTCTGGAATAACTTTCATGCATTTTCTTTAGTTTAAAGGAATGATTGCTTATATCGAAGATATATCATACAGTTTCTAATGTCGTTAAAAGTTGGTGATAATTCTTTCGTAGATTTATTAATGAGAATTTTGTTAAGATTTATATCAATTCAAAACACTACGATAAAAATTATTTCCAGTAAGGAATCTCCTCCTCAAACATATTATTATAATAACAATGACCACTTGGGATTATTTGACTTTCAGCATAGATGATTGATTTGTACAGCTGATAAGAACGAAATCAGTACACTGATAATTCACACTTAGAGATTCTTCGCCGAAAAGTTTGTGATCCGATCATGAATACCAATCCTTTCGGCAAGGTTAGACCTATACAAGGTATCCTGTCTATTATTGCTCAGTTTCATCCGGTCTGAATATCACTTTCTCCCTTAAGAAATAATCTAGATCAAATTATCCGGTAATTATTTAGCAAATCGGAGACTCATTCGTCACTAGAAAAACTAAACAACTCATTCACTCATAGATCATCCAAAACCGAATCATTAAGCAGTTTGCAATTTGTCAACTCTACAATGTCACTGCTAAGTGACGTCCCTTATAGGAAAAAGAATTATACAAAATAAATTTATTGTAGAAAAAGAAATATTTCACCCTTTACTTGGTAAGGACGATACAGAGACAATTATAATTGTTTGCTGCCTAATTTATATTCTTGCCATGTTTCTTCTCTTCGTTCGCATTGCACTATCGGCAGAACTGGTCGAGCTGACTGTTGTTGTTTCCTTCTTCCCTTCTCTTCTTAATCCTTGAATTATCGTTGAGTGTCGTAACTGTCGTTCTGCTTGTACGTCGTCGTTTATTTCCGGAATACTGTGCTTGCCGTTGCATTTCTCCGCCCGTTGAATTTCTCTTCGCCGAAATTCACGTCGTTTAATACTCAACTTGGGTAATTAAACTCGCTTGTTGTCATCGACTGTGCCCTAATCCCTCTTACTTGTCCTCCTAACCGGTCCCTTTGTTCTTTATTAACTTTATGATCCTGTATACACTATATACTATCTTCTCTTTATTCTTTCGTTACTATAATGGTACTTTCGGCCTATTTGTCGACCTTTCTGTCTCGAACCAAAACCGTTACCTGTAATTCAGAATGGATTACTTACCTGTACGATTAATTATGGAATAGATGAACGATTCATAAGAACACCTATTATTTCATGAATTATTTCTTTGTTCAATACAATTCACACTCTTAGTATTACCATTAATACCTCTCCCTCCCTGTCTCTCTGTCTCCCTCTCTTTCTCTCTGTCCCCCTTTCCCTCTCTTTCTTTGCAATAATCTGAGCTGTTCATTTAAATCGTAAAACCATGTAATGGATGCTGATAGACGATCAGAGATCACTTATCTATTTAGTTGTAATTATAACTTATACACATTATAATATTCTGTTTATTCCCTCTGGTCCTCATTACTTAAGCTTAAGTAACTGAGAGTGAGTTACCTAATAGTAACTTTTATAAAACCTGTTAATTGAGATCTTCAAGCCTTGAGCAAGTTTATGGCCAAGTCCAATTATTTCAGTCTTTCTTTTATTCGACTGGGCCAGCCACCGAATCTCAACTAGTCAATTCAGAAGTTAATTTGCCAAATAGTCTTCTTATCGGCACTGACATTCAGAAGTTAAATTGCTAGCACATTTCTTATCGACATCGACCATCCATCATTCGTTGTTTATATCATCTAATGCCTTTTCAAGGATAAAGAATTTCCAGTTTTAACTCAATTTTAAATTAATTGGTACTTGATGCTATTTCGAACTTCTCTCAAATTTGTCGCAAACTTTTAACTCCAAAAAAAAGAAATATAGTTAAACAAAGATTCAATTTAATAACTGATTGAATATTTGTTAAGTAATTACTTTTCTGAAGCAAAGAAAAAAGATAGGAAGGTATTCTATCGAATTATAAATTAAAATTTCATGAGCAGATCATTTTAACCAGATATTTTTTAATGAAAATAATTAGATAAAAAAGCGTGGTAAAAGCTTTTTAATAATTTGTTTTTGGTTATTACACAATTGCCACTTAATATCAAAAGTTTGAAATTGAATTTCTTATCAAAATGCTTTCATAATTGCTATTTCTCTTTCAAAATATTTCAAACGTTTGCAATCGCAACTAATAATAATAAAATATGTTTACGTTTCAATAAATTTCAAAAGAGCTGTTAGCATTGTTCCAAAAGGAAATAATAGTCAAAAAATTGTATTTAGACGAAAATACATCTAGTCGGGCATAAATATTTCTGCTAATCTTAATCATTTTATTATCTTCAAAAAATTTAGAATTGAAACTGGCAAAAAGGCATAATTTGAAAATCATGAATACTTGCACTCGTAAACGGAATAAACAATAGTACAAGCGAAGTATGATTAAAGTAAATGAATAAGCAGTTAGGATGTAAATTTTAAATCAAAAGTAATTAGAATACATAAATTTTAAATGAAACGAGAAGCAAAATAAGTTAACTGAAAAAGTATATAATTAGCAATTTTTAAACTCAAATAACAGTAATTTCAGTGGGGAAAAAAAAGTTTATTTAAATGATAATATTAACTAATAACTTTTATTTTAATATCTGATTGAAAGTTTCAATTATATGATCAATTAGAGTATTTCCTAATCATTAGCCAATATTTTCTACAAACTATTCATGCATTCACTTTAATTGATCATAATTTAAGTTAGTGCAAAGGTTTACAGAGAGTAAACCACGGAACAATCTCTAATCACATAATTTTGAAATCAAAATGATCAATTTCTAATTGTATAAATGCAAGGATTGTAATAATTTTCTTGCACAAACTATGCGGAAAAGTCTGTTGAAGAATTGCAAGGAAAATTTTTAAATAACCTTTTGCATTAATGCATAATACCTCCACTTAAATATTACTAAATTTTTAATGATAATTTACCACTGATAAATAATTTTCAATTATATTTTAATTTACTAAAGTATTTTCCGCACAACCTTTTACATTTGATCAGAATGAATTTTGAAATGATATTAACTTGAAATTAAATAAATGATGCTAGAGTGGTAGATGGATGGATGGATGGATGGATGAATGGATGGATGGAACAATTGTTGAACAAATTAAAAATACTCTTGGCTAACTTAATCTGCGACATTCCGGAATGGCAATAACTTGATTAGAAAGAAGAAAATTTTTAAAAATTTGTATATTTGCTCCTCGTTTATGATTCATGTCCAGAATGTCAAGTGCTTTTCAATCAGTCAATTAGTTTTTCTTAAAATTTCTTTGACTAATTTTTTTATTAGTAAAAAAAAAATGATCAGAAAACTATTTTTTTTCTAAACAAACTATATGATATGATATGATTTTATTTTTTCTAAACAGACCATATGATATGATTTATTTGCAGTTTCTAATATTTTCTTACCACATAATTTGAATTTTTAAGATTATCAAACGTTCTATTTCTCTGTCAGTAATCATTATCAGAAATTTAATTTCACCTAAAAATATTTAAAATATAGCAATTAATTTGGCTTATGCAAATTTCAAATATTCAAACTTACTTCATACATTCTGCCTGTTGCTACGAAAAATTCGCAGTGTTTTCGCACTTAGTGAAATTAATCGGTGATTAAATCGCTTAGGAAGATTAATGATTATTTATGAGATCTCGAGATGTGATATCGCAAAATATTCATGTTGTTATGCTGCATTCAAAATAATTAACATTTAGAGAGTTCTGGGAGGAAAAAAAAATTTTGTAAAATTAATTTTGTTTAACTTTTTCTGTTTTCATAGTTGTTCAAAGTTTTCGTCCTCTCTCTCTCTCCTTTTTTCTTGAAATATAATCTTGAGTGAGAGTAAACTTTGATATATTTCAAAATTACCGTTTCATATATTTCCAAATTATCTTCTGAAGTTTTTTGCCTGAAAATAAACATTGTGAATAAAAAAGAAAAAAAAAAAGTAGCTGAAGGATTCATTTCCAACTTATGCAAAAATTTTGCCATATGAATATTTGCATATCTGAAATTCTAGTAAAGCATTTTATTCCCCAAATTGCTAGTTGATGAAAATTTTATTACGAGAAAAAAAAAGAAGGGGATTTGAATAGCTTACGATAAAGATAGAGAATATCCAAAAGATTTAATTTTTATAGGAAAAAAAATTTTTTTGCCATCAATATTTGTCATTATCCGCCCTCTTTTGATTCTTCCTGTTAGCTTCCCTTCCGCTAAAGCGGCAATTTTGTTTGCATATTGCTATTGTTAAAATATATTTCAAAAGTTTACTTTGTTCATAAAGTCTCAAATTACACTTTTTCCGCAACATTTCACTGCGGAAAAAATTAAAATTTCTGTTCATGCAGTTAACTTTGATCCGTCGTCAACAAATATTTAATTCCGTCCTTCTTTCATAGTAATTGCATTATTTTGCTTGGATAGCTTAATGAAATGAAATGATGATTATTCTATCCATCCGTTCTTTTTGCTTTGCATTAAATATGCTTAATTCAACTGATAGTAATGAGTTTCTTGACATCGTCTTAAAATAAATATAATCCGAAATCCCACAACGTGACAACATTTTGCGCCACATACTAAGCATTATTCATTCTAATGCGTTTTTTGCACAGTTATTTTCTTGTTAATTAGTAATAATGAGATTTTGACGAAACAATTTAATTCACAAATTTGTTTAATGTTGACAGTAATTATCAGTACTGATTAGAATCACTTCCTTGAACAATAGATATTATCGGAAACAAAAGTCTGACAGTTTCTCGTTGTATTTATTAATACATTTGTAATTGCTCAGGAATTTTTGAAATATTCGTTGAACGATGATAAAAGCGCAATTTGTTTTCTTATCTTTCTGTCTTTCTTAATTCTTTTGTTTTTCATTGTGACATTTTCTTCTTTGTGCTTTTCTGTTTACTTTATTTGAGTTAGACAAAAGACTTTCAATCATTCTATGACACTAAACAATGAAATTATTGTTTTAGCATAAATTTAATCCAAAATGATTTATTCAATTTGATGAACATATGACGATGACTTATATTTGTTGATTAAATTTATCAGTAGTGATAATTTATCAACAATGTTATCAAATTCGTCGATGTAATGGATGGCTTTTTCATGGTGGTTATAGTTACCTTTATTAGTGATAAACTTGTTAGCTTATCAGTGAGTGGTTTGGTGATTGAAATCATTTAAGGACGATTATACTTTGAAATACGACGTAATCCTATTTAGCATTTCCACGACCTGTCGCAGTACATTTCTGAAATTTTATGATAGTGAAATGATAAAATGATAAACTTGAAATCAGTATAACTGAGATACTTTCATGAAAGACAACAAATGACATTCACTTAAACTGAACTTATTAGATCACTTCCTTATTCCCAATTTTTTAGTATAAAAAATTAATCTGTTAACACTAAATGTCTGAAAAATTGCAATGAAAAATTGCAAATTAATTATAACTTTTCTAGCAAAAACATTCTGAAAATTAATAGGGAAAAATATGACTGATGAAAACCGCAAAAGAAAAAGAGAAGCAAAATAATGAATTCAAAATAGCAAAAGAATTGAAATTTGAATTATCATATATTCCACTCTGTTTACAATTATTTTTGCTATAATTAGAAACAATAATAATAATAACAATAGATAACACTAAATGCCTGAATGATTTGCCTGTGCTGATTTTTGGTGCCAATTAAAAGTAGCAATAATATTAAGTGGTATTTACTCGTTACACAATTTAACTTTATGAAAAGTTTTCATCTCTGATCTTCTAATATTGAAGTGTGTTTCTGTTATACTTTATGAGATAACATTTATTATGGCACTCTTATTGCTATGATAACCATTAATTTAATGTCACACTTTTTTTTCTTCTAATTTTTTCATTTCAGTATATATTGTCTAAATTATAAAACCATTAAATTCTTATGGTAATAATAACCGATAATATCAAAAAGAGAAACCGAAAAAAGAAGCATAGCAACAAAAATCTATTTTCCGGAAATAAATTTTCTTTCATTTTGTAAACGATTATGTGATTTATTATCGGGAAATGTAATTAAGAGAATATAACTTTTTGATATAGCAAATTAAGTTTTTTTTTTTTCTTTCTTTCTCAATTACTTACGGTATTTCAAATTAAAACGATTCGGCACATATATTATGTTAAAAGCAATACCAATAAATAATTTGAGGGACAAATTCTTGTCATCAAATGATTCATGCATATTTGATGGAAAAGAAAAGAATATCAAAACATTCCGCTTATTTTAATTGAAAGCTAAGTATGAATTACTTTATTGAAAAATGAATTCGTTTTAATTTATAAAATATTTGTCAAAATATATTTATGTTTATTATATTTATAAATAGTTGATAATGGGAATTGTTTTTTTTTCCATTTTACATCATTAGGCGCAATTGTTTTCCAATGAGTTTATCTCAAAAATCGCCACTCTTTTTCATTATTTTTAAAGTAAATGCTCTAAAATCATTTTAGATAATCGATACAAATGTTATGCTTTGAAGTTTATTTAAGATTTTATGAGAAAAGAGGAAATAGACAAAAAGGATGGATGAAAAGTGAAACGCCTTTACTGAGAAATGTGGTATGATGTCAGCTTTCAAAATAAATTTCAATAAAAGATTATGTCCAGGATATAATTTACTGATTGAGAGAGGTGAAGAAGGAGAATGAGAAAGAGAGGGAGAGAGAGAGAAAATTAGAATCCTATAGCAATAAAAAGTCCAATAGACCAAAATCTGATAATAGCCAATGACTTTTGAAAAATTGTCATGAATAAATAAATCTCTTGACACGCTATAGAGCTATTAACTATGAAAGAATGATTTTATCCATAACATCCAGTGTTAAATTTAACAAATTTAAGTGGTAATGATAATTGATAGCACATCATGTGATAACTGATAGCATATTCATGATAACTGATAGCATATTCATGATAACTGATAGCATATTCATGATAACTAATAGCATATTCATAATAACTGATAGCATATTCATGATAACTGATAGCATATTCATGATAACTAATAGCATATTCATAATAACTGATAGCATATTCATGATAACTGATAGCATATTCATGATAACTAATAGCATATTCATAATAACTAATAGCATATTCATAATAACTAATAGCATATTCATGATAACTGATAGCATATTCATGATAACTGATAGCATATTCATGATAACTGATAGCATATTCATGATAACTGATAGCATATTCATGATAACTGATAGCATATTCATGATAACTAATAGCATATTCATAATAACTAATAGCATATTCATAATAACTAATAGCATATTCATGATAACTGATAGCATATTCATGATAACTGATAGCATATCCATGATAACTGATAGCATATTCATGTGATAACTTATAGCACATATCATTTCATATCTTTTATTTCTTTTTCATTGGTAAATTATTTATAAATTTAAATAATTTCATTATTGCTGCTTAATTTTTTCCATTATTTTCTCATTTTATTTTAGCATCAAAAATTAAATGGATTTCAACTTTGCCATTTTTTTTTTTTTTTTTTTTATTTCTTTTATTAATTTAAATCAACAAAATTAAATTAATCAATATTTCCTAAATATTTTACCATTCTCGACTATAATTTCAATGACACTTTCTCATTTTCCAACAATTCATCTTATCACTCCTTAAATTAAACAGTAGTATTAGCAGTGGTAGTAGTAGTAGTATTACTAGTATTAGTAGTTGTATTGTGTTTAAATAAAAAGTAAGGCCTCTCGTTCTGTCCCATCTCATTCAATTCTGTCCTTCTTATTTTGTCACAGCGAAATGCTCGTTAATTTTGCATTGAGATTAAGCAAAGCTGGAAGCGCTAATATAACTGACATATTTGTTGTTTATCATAATTTCTACTTTTCGATCATTTTCAACTAAATTTTATTGATTTTTCTTATTTTCTCATTTTTTCATTCCTTTTTCCTTGTATGTTTTCTTTTTCTTTTTTTTAATTTACTTTTAGGGAAAAATAAATTATTTTATTTCGAAAAAAGAAAAAAAATTTCAGTAATATATTTCAGTTCTAATCAATTTTCATTTCTTTTTTTCCTTTCCATTCAGGCAGTAAAAATAAACAACGATTTTTTTTTTTTTTTGAAATGGATTTATAATAATGAATAATTTGGAGCGATGTCAAACTGTTATTATTGAATTACCTGAAAATAGCATTGTATATGATTGGTTCTATGCTATTCATACCTTCTACAGTCCTATTCATACTTATCTATCAATTGCATTATGCATTCTCGGTGCTATGTGTAATTTTTGCAATATTGTCGTACTCACAAGGTAAGTAAATTTTCACTGATTTATTTGAAAAAGAAAAAAAAAAGAAATTTTATTTGGATTTAAAAAAAAAATGTAAATTTTAATTTTTGATTTTTACACACAACTAAATGTAATTTATTTTTCTAAAAATGGAATTGTCAACATAAGATGCGATCGAATATTTCTCTCTTTTCTCCATTATATGATATCTTCCAAAGATTTAAATTTCTCTTCAAATCTTTAAATAGCAGAAAAAGCGTGGAAATTCAATCCTTTATAATTGCATATCCAATTCCAACTTTTATTCAGATTGCTTTTATGATTTAGTCAGTTGTGAAATTTAACTTTTGCATTAAGAATTGAAATAGAGAAAATAGACAAAAAAAAGTGAAATAATTTATTTATGCAGTTTCTCTCCATTTATTCCAGTCTCTCTCTCTCCCTCTCTTTCTTTCTCTCTCCCTTTTTCCCTCTCTTTTTATCTTCCTCTTTCTCTTCCTTTGATAATTGTTAATAAGTCACAAAAAAGCAGTTCATTTTGTTTATCTTATTCCTTTAAGATACAATAAGAAAAAATAAAATTACTTTTCAAAGCTGAGAACTTCTAGAGAAAAAATATATATAAACAAAACAAAAACAAAACAAAAGCAAAAACAAAAACAAAAGCAAAAGTAAGTTTCATTTTGATAGCTTAGTATTCCGATAGCAATGCTTGAAGAAATAGTAGTGATAAGACGAAATAATTTATCACTTATCAGTTTAATTATTTTGACAGATTACCGAAATTAAAATATTAATTAATTTATCATTTGAATTGTTTCTAATATTTAACGCTCCACAAAGAATGATTCTAGAAGGATGCGATTGAAATTTGAAAAATTTAGCAAAAATAAAATATGACGGAAAGTAAACAAAATTTGAAAAGAATATATAAGTTATTTTATTTTAAGAAGAAAAAAAAATATTATTTTAGTATTTATTTTTTCACAGAATGATCCTAAAATTATTTTATCTATTGAAGCAGCACATTAGATGACAGATAATTATTATCATATCACTTTGTCAGATTAATCTTTAGAAAGCGAATGCGCACGCCAGTAAATATGACGTTGACAGCAATGGCGTGCTGTGACACGGTGGTACTGTTCTCAAATCTGATCTACACCACACATTACACATTAGCGGCATTTGCTAACTGTCATCCGAAACAGTGGAGCTATGGCTGGGCTGTTTTCCTAGTGTGCCATGCGCATTTGTCACTTATTGGCCATTCCAGTAGTATTTGGCTATCGGGTTAGTAGCTGATTACGGTAGTAATGGGTTGAAGTATTTCATTTTTGAATGCTTATCAAAGAAATGAAATTTGTTTTCTTTAGTCTAATGCGAAAATTATCAAAGACAATATATATTATCAAATCGGATCTTTTAAATTTAACAATAAAATATTATTTGCATATCTTTTAGAAAATGTCCAGGAAATGGATGAAAAAATTGTCACAAGGATTATTCGTAAATTAGTATTTTTTTTTTTCAAAAAAAAAATATTTGAAAAAAAAAAGAAAAAGGGAATATAAAATTCCAAATAAAATAAACGACCAAGTTTATTTGTATACTTCTTTTGTTGATTTCAATGTTAAATTTTCAGTTATGCTAGCACTAATACGGTATATGACATTACGAAGTAGAAGGAAGGTTAATGTCTTGCAGGTATGTATGTAATACTTTTGCACTGAAACTTTTTCAATAATAATAATAATAATTTATCACAAAAAATTTAATTAAATTTCAGTTAACAAATTTTATGGACACTTTTCTGTAGTTTATAAATGGAAAATTGTAATGCAACTGAAAATAATTGAACAATTTTTGTCTCTTAAAAGCTATTTTCTTGAAGTAAACTATCAGATCGCTGTTTAACTATTAGTTATATTGAACCATCCATGAAATAATGTCATTTACTATTCATTAATTAGTTCCAATCATCGTAAAAGCTTTTTTTGAGAAAGCTTAGATGTAATCAGATGCAATGTATATTACATCGATTTAATTTGATGAATTAATTTATTGCCTCTGGTAGAAATTTAATTATTCCACAAAATTTAATTTTCATGAAAAAAGCATTCCTGTACTGAATATTATAATATAATATAACTTTAGATGAATGAAATTTCTCTTCTGGAAGGATTGTAAAATTTTGAGAATGGAATAAGTAGAAAGAAATTTTGTTCTATTCAATTATATCTAAAAGAAATAAAAAAAAATTTATTTTGGATATATTTTCTGATGAATAATAGATAAAAAATTTACCACTCTTTTGAATTAAGAATTCTTTATTTCATTCATTTGAAGAGAAGTAAACTATACAATTGCACTCTAATCTTAAATATCAATAAGAAATAAATAAACAAAAGTTAATATTTATTGAGATGCAATTGCAATTTTAGAAATGCTAGCAAAACATTTTAAATTATCATGAATTCAGATTCATCTACGACATTCATACATGGCAATAGCATTTGTTGTATTCTTTGTCACACTGATGAACACACCAAATTTCCTTGCTTATAAAATTATCGAAATGAAACTCAGCGAAACTTGCAACATCACCGATACTGGCAATTATGATGCATCAGCTTATGTACCTGGTGTTTCTGATTTAGCACTTCAAGCACACTGTTTGGTATTAATTTTCAATCATTTTTTTATTTCAGTTTAAATTAATTTAAATTAAAAAATACCTTCATATATTTTTCTAAAAAAAAAAATTTCTTGAATCTTAGTGTAGAATCTTAGATGCAACAAAAAAGGTATAATTGTCATATTTTTAAATCTGATGAAAATTTGAGGAAAAATAATGGATGAATAAATTGCTTGTCCTGAATAAAATGATAAAAATGAGTAATTAATTAGTTGATCTCACTCTGATCTTAAATTTCAAAGTTAAACTTAAGCTTAAAAATCAGTTCGGAAGATTTGTTCATTTACAATTTCAATCAGATGAGTGAAATTTTTGTTTATTACCATTGTCGATCATTGCAAAGAGTTATAATATTCACTGTTTTATTCCAAAAAGAATTTCAAATTAAACCAAATTCCATGTTCCCGTGGTGCTTCAGATATTCCGGATGGCATTCTGGATATCAGGTACGGTATTCAAGATGACACCTTGTTTACTATTGTCATCTTTTGTTTGGTTACTGATGAAAATTTTAACAAGAGTGCAACAGAATCGACTTAAACTTTTATACCATTCAACTCGTTTCTACAATGGAAAACATGAAAGTAAGAAGAAACACCGCGGGCAAAGTAAAACTGACACTGCCAAGTAATACTACTTCATTTCTCTATATCGAAAGTATTTTGACGTACGTGACCTATTACGCTGTTTTGTTTTCATGGACGTTGATTGATCAACACAAATATTTCCACCTTTCTAAAATTCATTTTTACTTTTCTTCAGTTATCAAAGTAAAGGAACAAACTTTGCATCAAATAATCCGTTTTATAAAAACCGTAATATACAGGTGATCCGGTAAAGCAATATTCAGCGTTCTTAAATAAGCTTATCAGCATAAAGTGCCTTTTCTTACATAATTGAATAAGCAATCAATCCGGAATTTCAAATTTCAGGACAAATACAAGTATTGTTTATCGGGCAGATCGTACTACCCGTATGCTACTAACAATTTTATGCGTATTTTTAATCACCGAATTACCGCAAGGTATTATGATGGTGCTTTCCGGTATCCTTCCGGAAGCATTCAGGCGTCACATCTACAACAGTCTGGGAGATCTACTGGATTTATTATCACTGTGTAATTCATGCACAACATTTGTTATCTATTGCTCAATGAGTGAACAGTTCAGAAATGTACGTCTCTGTCTCTGTGATTTCTCTCACCAAATCACATTTCAATTTCTCTTTGGTTAATTAGACTGGCCAAGTGTCGGTCAGATGAAAGAGTATTTTGTGTCACGTACCTTCTTGTTGACACAAATAAATATCACAAGAAGGTGGTTAGATCCATTTTGTAATTTCAATAAAACAATTCCTTAAGTTTTTTTGACTTTTTAAAATAATTCAAAATATAAAAATACAAAGTCAAATAGTTTAGAAAAAGAAAAAGAATCGGAATGGGAAAGGATATTAGTAAGGGAAATTGTCTCCAATTACTTCTACTTATTTTAATAAATAAATTAATTACTTCATCAAGTTTTTCCTTTTCTCCTTGCAACTGTTTTACAGGAATTCAAGCAAGTTTTTCTACCAAATTCATTTTTTGATCACAAATTAAGATGGAACCTTAAACGGAACTACAAAGAGTCTTCGTCACATTCAACTACTGATGCAAGTTCCAAAAATGCTTTTGAATTACCACGAAACGTCTTAGACAGGTATGTAATTCATTGCAAAAGGAAATTTAAAATTCATTTCATTTGATACTGCGAGTTTCTCCGTAACTATACGTGTTTTGCGTGAGCTGCTACGCTACGCAAATCTATTTATTACACTATTGAAGCATACATCATTTTTACGCCTTTTCCCACGGATATCTATGACGTATTAAGCTGAATTGCTTTTTACGACCAAATTTGAGAGATTAACGCAGTTAAAATTGTAGAAATATTGAAGGCGTTTGCCCGGCGGTAACGGCAACTTCGGAATTACCAATGGAAAGTTCGATGACCTGGTCACAGTGCGCAGCTGAGAATAATCTGCCGGAAAAGTTAAATACAAATATAGGAAATACGGAAAATGATGAAGATGCTAGCCTGTTACATTCCAGTGCCTAAAAGAGTAAACATTTCGAGATTGTACAGATGTAAATAATATTGAAGAGTTTTTCTTCAAAACTGAATAAATTAATAAATTTTTAAAATTAAGATTTGTAAATAATCATCGTTGTCTCATTTTAGTACATTTTCAATATGATAACATAGAGGGAAAACAGTTTTGTTGGTAATAGTATGATAAAATATAATCTTAAGAGAGTTCTCTTAAATTTTTATGATTTATATTTAAATTGAATTTATTGAAATTGCATAAGATTATCAAAATTAATCCAATCGAGTTTTGAAACATACTTCTCGATGAATGATGCCCTAAACGCTTAGCATTTTTCCTGAAAAGCCTTCGAGTGTTTCAAGTATCGCAATCTTCAAAATTGAGAAGCTCTCTGTTAATCAGGCATGAAAACTTTGATGATTGAAAAAAAAATTTCAAGCTATTATTATTATTCATCAATTCTACATATCAAATGCAAAAATTAAAACAACAATTTTTTTTTGATGTTAAATTTGCAAATAAAAGATTTGCTTAAATTTTGGTTTAAAATCTTATATTTCGTATAATTTAAATTAATTTTATTTATTCAATCTGCTGGTCAACTGAGCATCACTCATAGCTTTACCTATTAATTTTAACTGCGACTCTTCTGCACTCATTGAAATCCTTCAACTCTCTCATAAATAAAATTATTAAAATTTAATAGTTAATCTAACCAATCAATCAGAAAGATGTCGTTTGGCTTATCTGAATTTTAGAAGAATGAAGATTGAAATTTAAATTCATTAATACCTAAGAGTTTGAATTAGTTAAAGTAACACAAAGGTTTGGTTTAAACGAGTTAACAAATACTTTAAGTATTATCATCCAATCAATACTAAAAGTAGAATTAGAAGCGAAAATTGAAGCAATGAGACGCAATATGTAAACATTTCAAATGAAACTTAAAATGGTTCAAGAAATTTTGGAGTAATGAAAAAAAGAGATAAAATTGACAAATTAAATTATATATATATTTATTTATTTGTTTATTTAATTTAAATTAATTTCTTCAAATAAATTTAAATTATTTTCTTGAAATTTAAAATAACAATTGTACAAAATCAATTTTTTAATGGGAAAAGTTCTAAATTTCATTTTAAAACTTTTTTCTCATCCGTTTCCTTTGTTGCTGTACGTTTAAAACTTGTCGATCCGGTGCTTTTTCCTGAACTTCTTCTATTGTCACTTCAGGAAGTGTTTTTTTCGTACTCTACAACAAAAATTTAACAAAATTTGATATTTAAAAACAAATTATGTTTACCACAAGTTAAATACTCTTACTTTTACTTCAAAGTATCTCTCAAAACTGAAAATGCGATTTGAATAAATTTTCCTTACAATATTTTATATCTAAGAGAAATTAAAATTTATCGCATTCATAATAATTGCCCTTAACCTTTTAATACTTTAAAATAATTAATAAATGCATTAGATATTTATGAATAATGAAATATTATTGCTTTCCGCATCTTACTAAAACAATATATTAATAATTAATAAGTTAACAACATTTTAATCAAAAACAAAACAAAAAAGAAAAAAGGAAAAAACATTATAACAGAATACATTAAAAATAATAAAAGTTAAATCTAACTACTTTTTAACAACTTTTTAAAATTTTTCATACAAATAGTACCATTAACTTTTTATGAAATAAACAATTGACATTACTGCTAACTTAGTTATAACTAACTTTACTTCAACTTTACTTTACAAGAAATGGAGCTCACAGTGGAATGTGATTTAATAATGTTTGCTTCAGGAGACAATTCGTCAACATTTTCATTTGAAGTTTCTTCTTCCTTCGTACTATCTTTCTTTTGCCTTTGTGTCGGATTTGTCCTTCGAAGCGCTAAATAACAACAAGCGCCAATTGCCGCACAGATAGTAATACCAACAACTATTAATGATATTATTATTATCCATATAATAATTCCAGATTTCTTGCTCTTCTCTCCATCTTAAAAGAAAGCGCCGAAAATTGAAAACAAACAAACAAATACAAATATATTTTAAAAGAAAAAGTGATTTTTGAAAATTTTTTTTACTTATTTTTTATTAATATATAATAGACAAATTAATTGCAATTAATTAAGCTTTCATTCTTAAAATATTCTTTTCGCCATTAATTAAAAAATGAAATTTACTTTTTGTGCAATCGAAAAAGAACCAAGTTACATATATTTTGATTGATTCTTGAATAACTGTCACGGAACAAAAATCTTGTACCTGAAATTAATAATTCTCATTTTGGGTAACTAATTTAGAAATAGGCAAAAGCGATAATTAATAATTTTATTACTTGAAAATTTACTCTTTCGTTATAGAAAAAATTATTTCTAGAAGATTCAATAGTTTCACTCGTAAATACGTCACGTAAAGATAAGTAAGTAATTATAGTCCGACCATACATTTTTTTCCATTAAACAACATCGGATAGAGTTATGAATAGTTATTTGAACAGTAACAGTTACATAAACTGAAAAAGTTCATCGTTTTTTGTCTTTACTTTGGTAATTTACGTAAGTGTTCTTGAAACGTACCACACGTAACATATATTCGAAATCTCTGGGATTTTTTATAACTTGAATTTTGAGATTTTCAGGTTTAATTATAGCTTTTTCAAAAGCATTGGTCAAAACTTTGTCACATTTGTCGTCCAAACTAACAATTGCTATGCAACTATTTTCGACGTCATAATACGCTTGCTTTGATATGCATTCATTTGACTCGTAACGTGACAAATGCTGTAATTTCATTTTACCAAACTTCCAAATTGACGTAATTTTCGAGAAAGTCCAAACGTGACAGCTAAGTTCCCGAGAATTTGTCAGATCAAAGAAATTGTTCCTTATTTTTAGTAATCTGAATTCCAAATCTCATTCAATCATTGAAAGCTGCTTAATCTGCTTAAAATATTTTAGGCTTCATCAAATTTCGAGACTATCCTCTCATTAGTATCGCAATTCTAAAATCATTTATGATAAAATATTTAATTTATAATTTTAATTTCTAAAAATATTCAATCAGCTCAACGACTTCAGTTTAACTCACATCGTCTATTGATTAGTTATTTTTGAGTACAAACTGCTAAAAAATCAAATTTAGAATAAGAATTAATGAAATGTTTGAATAGGCTAAAATTTTTCAATGAGTTTACAATTTATTCAAACAGTTAAATTTTATTTCAATTTTCAAAATTTGCTAAACTTTAAGCTGCTTAACTAACTGTAATTCGTGCACGGAACTGTGCGTAAGTATTGACAGTGATCAAACAACCAACAATGCTAGAAAACAACCGCATGGAATAGTATGAAATACTGCAAGTGTCACCTCATTAGTGTCACAGCAATTTTATCATTCAGAAACATTAAAATAACACAATGAAGATAATACGCTATTAAATTTTATGTCAGTAAAACTGCAAAGAATTTTGAAGGTACTCAAATTTGTTTTTTGTTTATGAAATTCACCGCTTTGTTCAGAAATGTACGATGACTTCCGCTCTTTGCGCTAAAACGTGAATGTTTGAGCAATTATATATTAGCATTGTAATTTTAAAATATTAAATTAGACAAAACGTGAGGAAGAGCTAAATTTAGTTACACTATCAAATAGCATTAAAATTAATGGTAAGCTTAAATTTGTGCTTAAACCGGAAGAAAAATGTTACAAAAATTCAGATAATTAAGTTTATAATAGATTGAAATAAAATAAAAAAGTTAAATTAAAAGATGAAATTTCATTAAATCATGATAACAATAGATAAACACTAATTTCATTTATCACTAATAATTATCACTTCATGAATTGCTTGTTTAAGTTGCATTAACAACTAAAAATGCTGTCGAATTCTGCAACATTTTTTGGTAGAATAGAATTTTTTTTTTTTTGCTTATTAATTTGATTCAGTTATTCGTTATAAATTTCAAAGTCTTTTTATGAAAAGCTAATTGCAATGATTAATGAATGATAAGCTTTCACAGTGGCAATGACAATATGTGATAAGTTATCAGTTATCAGTGATAAGTTGTCAGTTGTGTGATAGCAATGAATTGATTATTGATATGCTACCAGTTTGTTTTAACTGATAAATTCATTTGTTTAATTTGTTTAAACATTAAATTCATAGAATCTTCTCAAATGGAAGCATTTCTGTTGCCTGAAACAGATCGATAGAATATTGTTTCTATTTTCCTTCTTTTTTTTTTTAAATTTTTTTTAAAATTTTTTTCACACCTCAGAGAAATTCTTTATTATAACTTTAATTTGGTCGTTTTTTTCTTTATTTTGATGACTTCAACAATTTTTACATTTTTTAAAATTCTCATTTTGCTCAAATACTTCAGAAAAAAGTTTTTCTGATCTAAAATTTTATAAAATAAATAAGAAAGAAACCACAGATAATTAAGTACGTTAAGCATTCACTTACGCACGTGTTTTTAGTCCAAAGAAGAGAAAAATTACCATACAATTTTTGTATGCGTGAAATATCACAATTAGTAAGTGTCGGTTTCACGTATTCTCCGTCATCATTAATTGTCTGATAGTGATAGAAAGGTGACATTATAGAATCTTTTTCCCAGGAATGTTCCAAACCCAAAATGTGACCAATTTCATGGATTGCTGTTGGTAGTAAATCTATGGTATCATATCTAAAATACCTAAATTTCATTTATTTTTTTCTTAATTTAATTTTTTTTCGAATTTTTTCTTTTTTTTTTTTAAAGATTCAAAAGAACATTCTCAATTTATTTAATCAGTTTTTCTCTTAAAACTGATAAGAAAACTAACCTGGAAAGTTCTGTGATTATCATTGCAGCCCATTTTTCATCTGCGTCAAAATGAATTAATCCATAAGGTGGCAGTAATGTATGTGCTAGTATTTTACCTGTAAAAAAAAAAGAAATCTGATTCAGTTCTTTCAACAAATTTTGCTGGAATATTTTAAATATTTAATTCAATTTTTCTTTTCTATGCAAGCAATAAAAACTAATAAAATAATTTCTTTTTCTTTTTGAAACAGCTATCCGAGAGAGTTGTCACCAAGAAAGCATTGATAAATAAGTATCGTTACCTTGCACAGGTATCATCATACCTTCATAATCACCAAATATTCATTTACAGTTAGCGCCAACTTATTCTCTTCTACTTATTATAGTAAAAATAATGTATTAAAAATTTTTATTGTATAATTTTGATCATTATCTAAGTATTATCATAATCACAAAAAATTGATATTGTCAATTCCTAAAACATAAATTCGAATAAAATTTTCTTTTTAATAAATAAGAATGTTTATTCTTATTCTGATCATTCCATAGCTATTTTACTGATAACAAAAAAAAGTGATAAGCCTGGTCCATCAAACGAATATCCATCTCCATGTTCACCGCTGACAAATGCAATTTTAATATTTCCATTTCTTTTTACTTCGATGAAATTTAATTGTGTCACCGTTGACCATTCTTCAAAAGCTGTCTTCATTACATTTCTGAATTTTTTTTTTTTTATTTTTAAATTGAATTGAAAGTTCTTAGTGAATAAATATATGTATGTGCAACTTCATTTAGAACTGTTTAATTTTAAGAACGAAAAAGAAAGTTTTATTGTATTTTTTATAGAGCAGCAATAATTATCACACCTTTAATTATCATACCTTATTGTTTTTCTCGACAAATGCTTAGGAATAGTTCCTATCGAATATGTCAAATTTTTGCTCTTCCATTTGTATGCTCTATTTGAATCTGAAATATTTTGATAAAATGAAGGAAAGTTCTTGAAATTTCGCAGAGAACTGTTCAATATCGATTAGAAAATAATCCAAAAGAATAAACTACACTGATCTTTGCTTAGCATTCAATTTTAATTTCTTTTTTTTTTTTTTCAATTTATTAAGTCCAAGGCTAAAAAATCTTTCTTTCAAGAACTTTGAACTTTCCTTCTTAGCTTTCTTTATCAAATGATCGTAAGTTGACAGTAAGCTTATCAGCAAAATTCAAAATGCTAATCAATGCACATTCTATTTTATTCATAAGCTACTGATTAGAATATCAGTGACTTCCGGCCTTCCGTAAATTAAACGGTGACAGAAATATTACGGACCATTTGAATATGACTCATTAACAACCTGTCGTGCACACAATGTCTCTCCGATTTTATGCCGTTTCTGCTCATCGAATCCATCCGTCTTTATTAGATTTTTAAAATTTTGAAATAATCTAAAAATGCTGTTCAAATATAATTAACACAAATTATATTTACTTTAAAGCTTTGTTGCATACATTGAAATATTATATCTAATGATGTGTATAAAGGAAGTGATAAAAGAGTGATAAAGGAAATTTACTGATAAGAGAAGTTTTAATTTTATGTTTCGTTAAAGATTTGTTAGAAATTAATTAAAGTTAAGTATAATTATTATTAAGGCTGATAATGATGTCAACAATATGTTATGAAAATTATATAATTCTTAATCTATTAAATTGTTAGTGATTAATTGTATCAAGATAAAAAATTATCAGTGATAACATTTTTTGTTCAATTAAAAAAATTTCTTTTTTTAATATTTAAAACTTGCAAAAAGGAAAAAAAAAAAAACATTTACTTGTGAGTTTCATAAGTATGCTTTAATAATTGAGTATTAAATTGTTTTTTTAAAAAATTGTACTTTGCCAAATACACCTGTAAATTATTTGTAATTCATTGCATAGATAGAATAATAAACAATTTTCCGTTTTAATTTTTTGAGTATAAATTTGATGCAAATAATTTCAATACAGCATGACAAAAAGGAGTTGAAAGATTCGAATTTCAAATTTAAACTATCGTTGAAATGAAATAGTAACAATAAAGATTTACAGGTGCAAAGTTTTTGACATTCTTCGATGATACAAACAGAACAAATACTGAAACGAAGATTGCATTGATGGTCACACAATAACATAGCATATGCGTTATGAATTAAAAACCTGAAATCCATTTCATACTGAAATATGACTGAACTATTATTAATATGTAATTACAGCATGTTAAACCTGTATTCATCTCATATTTAACTTTTAGTAGAAAATGGGCGCAAATTTGCTTAATTGAAGAAACTTGCGCACTTGTACACAAAATTAGGATTTTCTATGCTATAATTTAGGTATATAATCTAATTTAATAAATAAATAATAAGTTTTTGTTACAACAAATTGTTTAGCAATTGTCTGCCAAAGAAAACTGAAGTATAGGACAAATAGGAATTGCTGATGCATAGGAAAGTTTTAAAATGAGAAAAACTATTTTTAAACGATTATCAGTTTACCAATTTTATGATCGATCACAACAAGTACAAACTTTTATCTGCAAAATATTCAAGCATTTTAATAAAACTAAAATATCAAAAAATTGAATATATCATAAAGATAAATGTAAAAATTACATTTTTACAGCAAAATTTTGTATTGCACATTTTTATTTGTTAAAACATCACATAAAAGTTAAATATGTAATAGCATTTCAATTTTATAATATTTATTAGCATACTTTAATTCCCTCCCAGACTTTACAGAAATCGAAGATCAGAAATGGATCGATAGAAAATAATAGTTTAATTAATGATTGCTCGGCTTAGAGTTATTCATAATGACAATTATCATTAATTAATAAAGTTTGCTTGAACGATGATAAGACTCTTTGCGCTTTTATCACTCATCAGACTCTCTATACTTTATTCATTTCTCGGTTTATTTCAAAGCAAAACAAAAATTCCAATTTTCTAAAGCATAAACTAACGTCAGATGAAATTTGATACTAATATAAGACCTAGTTTTTACTTATCAGACCTAGTTTTTACTGATCACTGAAGTTGTAACTTCAGTTGTGTTAGTAATTGTTATCACATATTCTTCAAACGATCAGATCATTTTATCAGTTTCATATCTTTTGCTTCATTTCAAAACTGATTTTTTGCATTAATTACTTCAGAAAAAAGACAAAAATCTTTCTGAGGGCAAAAAAAAAAGAAAAAACTAAAATCTTTGCATCACTGAAAGAGTATTTGAGAGGTTTGTTGCGTTGATAAATTACAGAAATTATATTCAGTTCTTGAAACTTTAATATAGAATTTTTATTATCTTTTGTTAACTTTTAATCTTTAATTTTAACTTATATGCATTATATTTCTATATTTGTTATCATAAATTTGATTTGTTCAATTTATAATGTGAAAATAATAATTTACTCTCTATGAATTACTTAGGTTTTAATTAAGAAATACATATACACTGCTGAAATCTTCTTTATAAGTTCTTTTCGAATTAAATTTTTTCCATGCTGAATTTGCTAAATGAGTACCAAAAGACACTTATAATTACTAGATTTGAGCGATTTTAGTATTCGAGTATCAAATTATTGTGGAAATGAATGCAAAATGTGACGCTTTTATTTTGCAAGAAAACACAAAAACCCGTTCTCTATGAATACAAATTAAATTTCAAACAGTACAAATAGAAAGAATGTAGCATAATATGTACAAAAATATGCAACAAATTAACCCATACATTTGTCCAACTTTTTCAATTCTAAATTTTGATACACTCGATGTGACTTCTGTTGAAATTAGCTTTGTGCCAGAAATGATTAATATTTCTAATGTTTTGTAATTGTGTGAGTCATACTAATTCAATGAAACATTCATCTTTGCAATCCTCAAAATGACCAGTTTCCAAATAAGTGCGCAAGCAAAATAATCAAAAGAAGAATTTTTCAAGTCTGTTTCACTACTTGCACACTTTTCGTTCTCGTTTCGTTTTCTGACAGATGAATATATATTTACGAATATATATATTAAAGTGTCGTGAAATCTGAAGTGCACCCCAAACCCGTTTTCAAAGAAAAAAAAAATGAAAAAAACTTTCATTTGTTGTTGATAGCACTGAAGTTTAACAGATCAAAATTTAGACTGCATATCTTTCTAATTCAATATACCACTAAAAAATTATTTGTCAAGATACAACTCCAAGATCGAAGAAACAAGGTGTTTACTGAAGTTCAACAATATTTTATACAAATAAAAGCTGAATGAACTGCTTATGTCCTAGCAATTTTCTGTACAACATCATTAGCTGATTGTGGAGCAGGTCTCTTCTTTGTTTTTTCTATACATATTTTCTCGACGAATGCTATTAATGAGTTCTTATCAATCGGATGAATAATACTGTTATAAACAGCTTTTGCAGTTTTGCTTGAATTAGGCAAACTTTTATCTGTACGTTCACGCATAAATTCCCATTTACCATCCTGAAACAATGCAAATACACTGGAACTATTCATATTTTTATGCACTTCTAAGTAACAAAAAATAAAACTGTTGGAAAACTTAAAATTTTTGTCAGCATAGACTCTCAACAATCTCATTATGCTAACGCCAGAAAACTTAAGATATGGAACTTCTACCGAACATTGCGCTACACCAAGTGGTTGGATTAATAGCTGTATTATCTTCACTTTACTAACTTACATGTCAATAATTAAGTAAATCACATGCTAGTCTACAGTAAATATAAAAATCTCCAACAAAAATAAAAGACTAACTTTAAAAGTACATTCAATAATTTTATTATCATATGGCAACAATTTCTTTGTAGCTTTCATTTGCGCCATTGGTTCTGACTGATTTTGTACGAAAAGAAAGCCAATATGCTCTGGCAATTCACCAGGTTTCGATATACGCCTTATCCTCAATTGAAAATCAATTGAATTATGAGATGGAGGCTTCCATTTCAACAATGTATCACATCGTCCGCAACGATATGGCTGAAACGTAAACGGAATATATTAATTTCAGTGTAATAAGCTTATTAATAATAATTAAAAGTTAAAATTCTATAGTACCGATCTATAAAGCTAACTTAAAGTAATATGTAGTAATACAATATAAACTGAATTTTAATACAATGCATTGATTCCAGAGTAGAGAAAAAGATTTTTTCTAATTAGCAATGAAGGTCATTGCTCAAAATCCTGCAAAAAATTTCAACAATAAAAAAAATATTCTTAGATTCGAATAAATCGCATAAATTGAGAAATAATAATCAGAGAAAACAAGCAG